ATGAAATTATGGCAGTTTTTTTTTTTTTGAGGGAAGGGTCTAAATCTGGATTGACAGAGAAATTTCTTCTCATGGAATTTTCTTCTTCTAAATTTTAACTTTGGAAACTGGGGGGACAATTTAAGTTTTCTGCCTTGGTCTCTTTGCATGTAATGCATAGAAATCAAATTCTTTCCCCCTCCCCTCCTGAAAGGCAGTGCAGATAGAAACCCTTCCCTGAGCCTTGAGAGGACGAAGTCAGAAGGACGCAGAGGGGGGCCGGCCCGGAGCCGAGCAGTTGGGTTTGTGCGCTCTGCTTCAGCGGCCCGGGGTTTCGCTGGTTCAGAGCCTGGGCACAGACATGGCACCGCTCGCCAGGCAAGCTGAGCTGGTGCCCCACATAGCAGAACCAGAGGGGCCTACAACTAGAATACGCAGCTATGTACCAGGGAGCTTTGGGAGGAAGAAGGAGAAAAAAGAAAGAAAGAAAAAGAAGATTGGCAACAGATGTTAGCTCAGGTGCCAATCTTTGAAAAAAAAAAAAAAAGGATGCAGAGAAAAGTGTGGCAGCCGAGGCCTTCCCGGGTGGGCGAGCACGGCAGCATGGACCCTGGCCATCCCCAGGAGAAGGGGGTTTCATGGCGGGTTGAGATTTTGGAGGAATGCCTGAGAAACTCTTTCTCATACCACTCCCCGACCAGGACCCCTGGAAAGGTCTACAGAAAGTCCCCAGTGCAGCCTCCCCACCGACCGGGGACCCCAAGCCGCAGCCAAGTCTAATTACCTGCCTCGTTCCTGAACTCACCTGTGCTGTCCCGCCCACTCTCACATTTCCCATCCTGAAGGGTCTGACCCAAATGCCACCGCCTGTGGGCCCTCTCCTCTCTGCTGCAGCCCTAACTGGTAAGGAGCCGCTCCTGCCTCTGGCCCCAGGGTGGCACTTTGCACAGAAATGTGTCATGTCAGTTGTGTAGAGGTGAAGCACGGAGGCCTGAGTGCTCCCTAGACGCGTGGCCGCAATGACACGCAGCTCCGTCAGGCCTGAGTCCTCTCCTGCCCAGTGAGGACCACTTTCTCTGTGCTGATGTCACCGGTGTAAGATTATGAGACACAGAACAGCGCCCTGCACAAAGCACTCAACAGACCTTAGGCATGCGGGGTCCGCTGCAGGGGGCAGGTGAACTTTTTCTGGAAAGGGCAGAGGGTACACGTTTTTGGGTTTGATGGTCATATGACCCCTGCTGCCACTACTCCACTCCGCCTTGTGGCACCAGAGCAGCTACAGGACATCTGCAAATGAATGAGCTCGGCTGTGTTCAGAAACAGGCAGAGGGTCAGCTCGTGGGTCAAGGTTCACAGGACACAGCCCCAAACCAGTGATTCTCGGGGAGTGAGGACAGTGGGGGGAGGGGAGCCACACACCTGATCCTGGAAATCCCCTGCTCAAGGCTTCTCCAGAAAGCAGATTTGCTGGTCTACACCCAACCCACTGGACCCACATCTGGCCCAGGTGTCTGTTTAACACACTCTGGTGGGGGCAGGGAGGGAGGTCTGACCATCAGCTGGGCCACAAAGCCACAGACCACACCCTGAGCCCCGGGCCCCCCGGGCCTGACCTGGAAGGCACACGGCGCTGGGGAGGAAGGAGAGGGGGACGGCAGAGGCCAGAACAGAACCAGGGGTCACCTCACGCTGAAGCCGCCCCCGAGGGTCTTCTCTGTCTCTCTCTGAAACCTTCTCTTCCTACCTCTCCTGCCAGTTTCAAGGCTCCTCCTCCTCCGTAGAGGGGACTGAAGGACCTCACCTAGCTCCCCAGTTCCCACCAAACCCTAACGGTGGGTGTGCCAGTGCCTGCCCCACTGGGTCCCCCTGGCACCCCTGCAGGCATCCTGGCTGTCTCCCTCCCTCTGCCCCTCCTGTGGCTGCTCCACTCTGCACATCCGCTTCCCCTCCCCTCTCTCCCTCCCCCACACTCTGGTTCTGGGTCCTAGTGCTGAGCTGGCCTCTCAGCCCAGAAGGACCAATCCAGAAAGATCTCCCCTCCTTCCCCAGAAGCCGCTGTGGACTGGGGTAGGGAGGAAGTGTCTGTCTTCCCTCTCTCTCTTCTGTTTTCTCTCTCAAGGAAATAGCGGCACCTCCAGTGTAGCCCTGTGGGTCAGTCTTGCTTCTGGCACACAGAGGAGCAGGCAGGTGGCAGTGGGGGCCCATGTGGCTGGACTCCAGAAGCCTGGACTGCAGTCCTGAGCACCCACTGGGCCGGCGGCCGCATGACCTGGGGCAGGTCCTGAAAATGCGGGTGAGGGGTCTGACTCTCGGGACCTGAGATGAAATGCATGAGTTCTCAGCAGAGCCTGGAAACACGGAGCGGGGTCGGGGCCAAGTGCCTGGGGCCCAGCCCAGCAGGGCTGGTGAACAAGGCCAGCAGAGGTGAGGATGCTGGGGGAGGGTTTCACCCTGACCACCAGGACCCGGGAGGCTGGCTGAGCTGGGGTGAGGCTGAGGTTGAGCGGGGCAGGGAGCATTTCCCCTACTCTGACTGTGACCCCATCCACGCAGGGCATGAGGCACGGAAGGTCACACATGCGTGGGAGGCTGGGCTGGGCTGAGGGAACTGAGGCCCTGGGCTGTGGGCTGGGTGGGCCCAGAAACACTTAACCCTTTCCACACTTTAGCAGCAATGAAAATTCCCAGTTAAAGGGGCTGCACCACCCCAGGAGAGAAGAAAGATGCTGGAAAGGACTGGCCACTGTGCACTGTGGGCATCTCTGGGTGACCGGATCCAAGAGACGTGAACTTTCAAAACAGTTTCCTGGGGGCGGCCTCAGGGGAAGTGGCTAAGTTCCCTGGCTCTGCTTCCACCTCCTTGGGCAACCTCTTCTGGGCCTCTTCCTCCTGCCTCCCTCTCCACTTCCTCCCGAATCCCCCCAACCATCACACCTCCAGTCGGACACGTTATTTCTGCCCCACGAGTTTCCAGAGGCAGGCACTCCCCAGCCCAAACCATTTGTCTCTGAACTTCTGGGCTTTCCTGGGTGTGGACGGGTCCGGGCAACCCCACGGTTGCAGCGCGTGCAGAGGTGCACAGGTCTGGCACCGGCTGCGCTGAACCAGGAGCCAAAAGTGAGGCGTGCAAGCCCCAGTCCCGGAAATTCGTCCTTATGGACATGCTCAGACCACAAACAGCCCCGCAGAGACCCAAACTGACCGTCTTCAACCTCAGACTTTCCTCAACCAAAGCCGAGGCCACGGGACTGGAGACCACCACGAACCCAGTTGTGTCCTCTGTGCCCAGCGTGTCAGGCCCCTGCCCACTGGGGCCCGGTGTCACCAGGAGCAAGTCGCCTCCGTCGGGCAGTGGGACCAAGAGGCAGATGCACCCAGGAGTCACTGCAACCGCGTGGGGCCTGTGACCCCCTTCCCCCGGCTGGCAGCCGCTCACCCGCTCTGCCCGGTGGGTCTCAGAGAAGTTGCCTGGGCCCGGCCTGGGCACCCCTCGAGGAACCAGACCTGGCGGGGGACAGTGGGACTGTGCATCGGCCTCAGTCTCCCGATCCGTAGGCAGTGGACGGAGCCCACAGCGTGCCGAGGCTGGGGCAGGTCTCAGCCGTGGGTCCTGGAGCGGGGTGCCTCCTTCCAGAATTTCCTCCTTTGAGATCTTGGGAGGGTCCCAAAGAAGCAGGGAGGGGGGAAGCCGCCTCCCCTCCCCATCGCCCCCGGGGCAGGGGGGCTCCAGAAGGCTGGGGTCAGACTCAGGACTCTGCCCCTCCCCGGTTCTGGCATTTATAGGACGCACTGCCCAGTGCCCACCATGACATCTCAACCCTGCGGTGCAGACTCCACTGCGTTTGCTCCCTACCGACTCCAGGGCCACTGGAACGTACTGAGGGTGTGCTCCCTGCAGGAGCTTCCTGGAGCCTTACCCCTTGGTCCTCAGAGAACCCTCAGGGCAACCTCACTGTAGAGATGGGAAAACTGAGGCTCAGATGTTCCCACCTTTCCCTAGTCACCACCAAGCTCAGCCGCCTCCCTGGGGGCGTGAAGGGGCCTCCACTCTGGGGAGAGGCCCGGGGGCACCGAAGATCCGGATTCGGGCCAGACAGGACTGCGGGGACAGGAGTGTGCCCGCACAGGGGCTGATAAGACGCGTTCCTAGGGGTGAGGAGACTGAGGAAGGCTCATCTGGGGCCGGATTCACCGGGCTGGGCGCTGTACCCAGCGGGGTCGAGGCTGGTGGCTCCATGACCCCCATGACCACCCAGGAGGGACATCCTGACACTGGGCGCACGCAGACCTGCGAGATTAGAGCATTGGCCCAGGGCCAGGCAGGGCCGGGACGCAGCCGCCCCGGAGCCCTGCGTCCAGGAGTACCATTGGCCTCAGGCGGCGTCCACGCTGCAGGGAGGCGGGGACACTGCGAGGAGCGGTGGAGCCCCAGCAGCCCCGCTGTTTGCAGGTGGCCTTGGGCCCTAACGCGCAGCCTGGTGGGACTGGGAACTCCGAGAGCGGAGCCTGGTCCTTCACTAGGAAGTCCCTCGCGGGCCCCCAGTGACCGGGTGGACAGTGACGAGCGGGGCTGTTGTACCGCGGTGCGGCAGGGATGGCGCGTCCCGGCAGCCATCCTTCGCGACTGCCTGGGACCCCAGACCCTGGCGCGGAGGGCTTCGGGGGACGCGGCTCCTGCGTGGTCCGCGCCCTGCGGAGGCGGAAGGGCCTGGAACTCTGGGGGAAGCCACTCCGTGCTGGGATTCCCCGCACAGCGCGCATCTCTGTGCTCGGGGCGCCCGCAGCTCCACCCTCGGAACCCAGAGGAAGGGTGCGCCCTGCTGGTTCGCGAGCGCCCTCGGGCGACCAAAGATTCAGTGCAAGAAAGCACCAAAGAATTGACTGGCCGGGCCAGCCTGGTGACAGGGAGGGGGGGCTGGGGAAGATGACAGCTGGGTTTGGGGCTTGGGCAGCTGCGCGATGATGGTGCCCTATTTACTGAAAGGGAACATCCCGCTGGGCACTGGGGGCAGATTGCGATGGGAGCCAAGAGCTCCTTTGAGATTTCCACTAAATTTTCCGTGGAGAAGGAGAGAGATCTGGCTGCAGGTGCAGATGTCAGGGTAAGCCAGGTGTGGCATGGAAAGCTCTGGACTGGAGATCACCCAGGGGCACGTCGGGTCAGATGGAGAGAGCAGGGGGCCCAGGACTTTCAACCACTCCGACAGATGCATTTTGCAGTAGTTGGACACCCCACCGTGTACTGAGAAAGCGTGGATGGCACAGAAGAGGCAAACAGCACCCTGGAATCGAGGCTGTCCTGCAGGAGTCTGGAGCTGGCCAGGAGCTGAGATCCTGGGCTGGGTCAGGCAGGGGAGCGAGTCCCGTGTCCAGGAGCCTAGACGGGGTCTCCCGCCGTAGACAGCTCCGGAATGTGGCTGGCTGGATACAAGTGTATTAAAGATCACATCGGCCATGCTGGGGCTCTCTAAACAGAGCAGCGTCTGGAATGCTTCCTAGTGTCTCTGCACAGGCTGCCAGGGGGATGTTCCTTGATGCCAGCTGAGCATTCTCTCTGTGCCTGCGGGCTCTCACCAATTAGCTCGCCCCTGCATCACATTTATGGAACAGTGATTACTCTGCATTCTCTTTAAATCGCGGCACAGCTGTGGACCTGCGCTGTGGTGCAGAACCAGAGAACCAGGCTTCCCTTACAACGCTGCATGACACCCCCTTAAAGAAGCACATGCCACCGGATGGGTGGGGACATGGCTGGGGATGGGCACGGCCTTCTGCACACTCCAGAAGTCTCCTGTTGGGCCGACACTCACTCCTCCCGGAAGTTCCACTGGTCGTGCTCCCAGCCGGGCAGGAGGGTCTACACAATGGCAGCTGGGCGTTTATCTTTGACCACCAGCGTGGCAGGCGCTGTTCAGATGCCCACCCTGGCCACTGGGCAGGCGCTGACAGTGGGGTGGTCCTTCCAGAGTGGGGAGCCACACCCAAGAGCTGACTCCTGCGGTTTCTTCCAGGGGCATTTGTCTCTGGCCTCAGCCTGGATCCATGCTGTGGACTGTCCCGGTATGTTCTGGCCTGATGTCTCTGAAGTGCCTTCGTCATCTACAAACGGTCTCGTCCACTGTTGGACATTCTGAACCCGGACAGGTGGCTGCTGCACAGCGTGGCCAGAGACCACCCTGAACAGACCCGGCACAACCGAAGTGGGAAGTACCGACTTGCTGCGGTGGAGACCGCACCCCAGGGCGCGGCGGGCGTCTTAGGAGCAGGAGGGCTCTCGCGGAGCTGGGCTGCTGTTCGGTGTTTTGAGGACGGCTCAAGGAAGTGGGGGTGCTCTCGACTGGGTGCTTCCAGGAAGCAGGCGTGCTTTTGTGCTGGAGCATCTCGATCACTCCCATCTGGCAGGCAGAGGCACGAGGCGAGACTGCGGCGCTGTCGGTCCAGAGCAGCGAGGACGGCGTCAGCTGCCGGAGGGACCCTGCTCGTCTCCGGGGGTCGCACAGGGACTTCTCCGCTGCTGAGGCCGGGCTCGCCCACCTCCTCGCAGTTCTCGACGTCCGGAGAAGTGGCCCCTCGTTCCGAAAGTCGCGAGGGGCTTCGGTGATCCCAGGGACGAGCCGGCTCCTGCCCGGGGGCGGGGCCAGGAGGCGCGACCCCCGCCCTCACCGTGCTTCTTCCCCGCGCGTGCGCACTGGGCTCGGGACAGCGCGGACGCCAGCGGTGGGGATTCCTGTCCCCGCCGAGCCCCCGGAACGCGGGACCAGCTTCCGCTCTGCCGCATGTGCCGCTGCTTCCGGCCGCCCACGGGTCCTCGCCGAGGCCGCGGGGAAAGTGCGGGGGCTGCGGGCCCAGGCGCGCCAGGCTGCGGTGAGGCCCGCGGGGAGGCGGCGGTGGGCCCCGCGCCCCCGGCCCGAGAGGCGGCCCCTCCGCAGGCCTCGGCCGCTGGAGTCGGGGAAGGTATAGTTGGGGCACAGCGGGCGGCCCGGCGGTGGGGGCGCGGCCGTGGAGGGCCGGGGTGGCGGAGCCGCTCTGCGCTCCCTCCGGGTCGGCGGCTCCGGCCTGTGCTCAGCGGGCCCCGGTGACGCCTCCGCCCAGGACCTCCTTCCCCGCCCCTCTCCCTGCCTAGTCCCCCTGACCCCATCCCCCCAGCTTTTGTGGCTGCTGCACCAGCTATCGGTCTTCTCCCCCAAGCAGGGCTGGGGCTTCGGAGACCTGGCGAGGGGGGCACCGTGTCAGCTTGAAAAAAAAACGCTGCCGTTATTTTATCTCACGAGGAGTTGATTCACGATTTGCCTAGAGAATTACAACACGGAACCTGGGAACTGCTGTGAACCATGGGAAAGGCCGAGAACCCCGGAGAAACTGCTTTTATAGGGAAAGGGGAAGGGCGGGGCTGTTCTAAAAGAAAATCCATTGGGGGAAAGCAGCAGTTCGGGAGGAAAATGCCTCTCATTGGCAGAGCTGTGGGGCTTCTCATTGGCTGAGCAGTGGCGTTTCTCTTTGGCTGAGCTCTGGTGTTTGTCATAGGCTGAGCTGTGGCATTTCTCATTGGCAGAGCTGTGGGGCTTCTCATTGGCTGAACTAGGGAGTTTCTCATTGGCTGAGCTCTGGTGTTTCTCATTGGCTGAGCTGCCCTGTGTCTCATTGGCTGAGCTGCGGCGTTTCTCAATGGCTGGGTCATGGCATTTCTCATTGGCTGGGCCATGGCATTTCTCATTGGCTGAGCTGTGGTGCTTCCCATTGGCTGGGCTGTTGCTAGGTGGGAGAGAAGTCTTCCTGAGTAGTAGAGTGGCTGTGCTTCCTGCGGGAGATGAGAGCGCCCCACTTCCTGTTTGGAGTAAGAGAGGCCGCGGGATGGAGAGAGAGCTCCCCCTGCAAGTCTTCCGCATCCAGTTACTTCCGGTTTCTGTTACCTATTTCCGGCTGTTCTGAGGCGTCTGATAGTGAACGATTTTTAGGCTTCCAGCGCACGGCCGTGGAGGCGCCTGGGGGAACTGAAGGGCAGGTGTGTGTGCGCGGGACGTCTTGGCGCTGGCTCTTCATCCTCCTCACGGCGGTGGGACTCCCCTGGAGAAGCGGTTCGTGGCCGTCCCTCCTTGGAGGAAGTGCTGGTTTGGGTTGGACGGGGGATTCTGGGAGGGCGTCTTCCTGCGTCTGTGGGTTCCGTTTGCGTCCGGCTCACGTCGTCCGCGAGCCCAGCGGCGTGTTTGGGGCCGCGCGTCCTCGTGCCTCACGGTCGTCCCGCTGCCTGTTTCCTGGGACGCGTCCTGCAGAGTGGGTCGTGCGCAGGGACGCGCTGCCTCGGGTGGGGCGGGGGTCAAGGGTGCCGCGCGTCCCGCCAGGGTGTGGGCGGGGGTCCCCGGAGCCCAGCGGCAGGCCCCGGGTCTCCCTGGTGACCAGCGCGGTCGGGGTCCTCTGTGTGTCGGCGGGTTCTCTGGGGGTTCGTCTGTGTGTCTGGGGCCGTGGGGATCGCCCCTGGCACTCGGTGGAGCGCTTTGCGTGTGGTAGGTGTAGCTCTGAGTGGTCCGCACAGAGCTGTCCTGGGACTTTTCGAGTTGCCGAGTGAGAGCCGGCCCGTGCCCTCCTGCGACAGCGTCCCGCGTGGGCCCCTGCGGCCTCTCTCTCCCTCCCGCCTCCCTGGGGGTCGCGGGGCCGGGCCCTGCCTGTCGGCGTGTGCCCACCCTGGAGAGTGTCCGTCCCCTCTCCGCGCAGGCTGAGCACACCGCGGGCTGGGAGGGCAGCCGGGTGGAGACGCACCTGTGGGTTCCGGAGCGCTTGCACCTTCTTCTGTGTCCTCACGACATCTTTCTCCGTGAGTGTCACGTTTGTGGGTGAACAGATGGAGAAATGCAGCTCCGAGGGCCCGGGGTCACTCGGCCTGGAGTGGCCAAGCCTGACCGGAACCCATCGTCTGGGGAAGCGCTGGGCTCTTGTCGTTCAGTGTGGCCCCCTTTGGTTCCCTGGCACGGGAGTCATGCTGTCCGGCGCATGGCATTCGATCCTGTGGTGGTGATAAGTGTCCCTTGGGTCTGAGCTGGGTCCACTGAGGTGCAGGACACAGGGATTCCCCCTTTCCCAGGTGGGTGGGCCCTGCAGGGGAGGGCCCTGACGAGGAGGGGCCAGCCCGGGTCACCCTGGGCCCCCAGCCCTGCACCTGCCTCTTGCCTGCCTGTAGCGGCGTCTCCATGAGGGGCAGTTCCAGGGGAGGACCCGGGGAGAGCGGGAGAAGCCATCTGTGCTACAGCCAATGTCCCTGAGCAGTTTGAGGGAGTGGACGGGACAGAGCATCAGTTGGACTCACAGGACCTTCTTTGGAGCAGGATGCTGTCTTGGCTGCTTCGTTTCGGAGCATCTGTTTCAGTCCCCACAGCTCTTATTTCCTCGTCCTCCAGGTGAGCTGGCATCTGCTGGGCAGGTGTGCCAGGTGGGCCTGCCTGGGAGTCCAGGGCTCCTTCAGCCATGAGGCCAGGTGACGCATCCGTGTCATGAGGGGCTGGCACACCTGTCCCCTTTCACAGACGAGGACGAGGTGCAGGGGAGGTGAGGTGACAGTGTAGGGGCTGGTCCCTCCCTTTGCCGGGCTCAGAGCCGTGAGGCTCCACGTGGAATGGAAGGGAGTCAGGGCCTCCCTCTGGCACCACTGGGATGGTTCCCTGTGGGCCATCCTCACAGCTCCCCCACCCCCACAGTCCTCTGCTCCCCTCCACCCAGCACATGTGCAGAGAGAGGGGCTGAGGCTGTGCACACACCTCGAGGAGGCCCCGGGCCAGCACGAGCATCGCTGGGGCCCCAGCCCAACTGCTGACCCTTGTTTTCACACACCGTCTGGGGTCTCTGATCCTGCCACGTTCAGGACACTGGCCCAGAGGCTCATGGTCCCGCCTCACAGGCAGGAGCACAGGAGCCCCTCCTGTCTCCTCTCCTCTGTGTGTGAAGATCCGGGAGCCTGGACGGGTCCTTGGTTCTGAGCCGAGCACGGCCAAGTCCTTCCTCATCCCTTGATCGGGAAGCTGCAGCTTCTGTGGCTCCAGAGGGGGCCCCCGAGGGGGCAGTGCCACTTTGTCGGCGGGCTGACCAGCAGATCCAGGGCTTACATTCATGGGGGTGGCTCCGTGCTCCGCGGGCAGAACTCAGCTACTCCTGCGCCTTCATACCGAGTCTGAGGCGTTTGAGAAAATTCCAGGCCGCCACTGCCAAGACAGGCGTGTTGTTGACTGCCCAGGGAGCATGGCCAACCGGAAAGAGCATGAGGTCACTTCCTGGCAGAGGGGACACTTTCAAAGTCTGTGACAGCCTGGAGGCCTGGGCCTGAAAAGCAGGGGTGGGGAGGGCACGAGGAAAGGAAGGAAGTTGGTAGAAGACTGGTCAGTCAGGTGTGGCCACAGGAGGAGACACGAGGAGCTCAGGACACAAACACGGTGTACCATACGCACAAGTCCTGCAGAAGGAGGCCCAGCAGGCAGGACCACGAGGGGAGGCCCAGGGCAGTGAGGAGGCAGAAGACGGGAATTGACTAGCCCCCAGAAGGGAGTCTGTCCCCACTGGAAAGGTTTTTTTAGGATGTCAAAACGTCATAAAGAAAGCTGAGGAATATTTACAGAAGAAGAGGGCCTGGCCTACTGGGTGCAGAGCTCAGAGCAGCGGCCTGGTGAGCTCTGGCCTGGCACTCGGCAGAGCCCTGAGGGCCTGGAGAAGAGGCCCGGGTCCCGGGGACCCTGGGAAATGGGCAGGCAGCCTGAGGCCGAGGCGCTGACGGTGGTAAGAGCATGCACAGCAAGTGCTCGGGAGCACGTGGGGCTCTGTGCCTCCTCGGCTGCTGGCTCTGGGGCAGGACACTGGGTGGCCCTGGGCCTCAGCCGCTCATCTGTAGAAGGGACGTATTAACAGTGTTTGCCTCCTAAGTTTTGTTTCCTTTGGGGTCAGGATGAGTTAGCAGATGAGAGATGTTTGACGGGCGGCTTGGCATTAGAAAGAGCTCAGTTGATGCTGCAGAGTGACTGGCCGTGTCGTGTGTCCGGTTGAGGGAGGCCCCTTCTCTGCTGGCCCGAGGTGTCCCGGGGCAGGTGTGTGTCTCGGCCTCTCCCAAGCCCCGTCTCCCTCTTTTCCAGCAGCTCTTCTTCTGTCTGGGTTCATCAGCCTTGACTCCTGATCAGCCAGGAGCCTGGAGCCCGCAGGGGATCCATGGGCCTTGTGGCTTCCCTGGGCTTGAGCTGGGGCGGGCAGTCTTTTCTTGGTGTAGGTCGTGTGGAAAGTGTCATCCTGTGACTGAGCCGATGCCTGTGACCCGCTGGGCTATGAAGGTGAGGGTGCCTGTCTGCCTGGATTACTGGGGACACGTCCTTCCCACATGTCCTTGCTCTGGGCTGAGTCACTGATGGAACTTCTCCTAGCAGGTCTGGCTGCTGTGCCCCTGCCATGTAGCTGCTGTGTCCGGAGGAGACAGAACCCGCTCAGAGAGGAGCCCTGGCCTGGTTGTGGGCCCATCACCCGGGGTGGACGAGTGTCCGTTCTGCATCCCACTTTGTGCATACTGTGTGCTCCCCTTCGCTCGTGCAGACGTGCTCTCCCCTCTCCTGCAGCCCCTGGACACAGTGGGGCCTGTTGGACCCTCTGGGTGCTGTGTTTCTACACAGAGCTCCTACTTGGAGCCTTAGGGAGCCCCGCTGGCCTAGGAGCCAGTCTGCCCCTGGGTTCCGTCCTGCCCCTTGGGCCAGCCTTCTGATTCCAGACAGGTGCTCTGGGCTTCCAGGGGGGCCCCGTGGGCTCTGTGGCCATGGGCGGTGGGGCCCCACTGCGTCCACTCTCTGGGTGGGGTCTTGAGGGCGTGGCCGGTCCAGCGTGAGCACTCTGGCTCCTGTGTCCGTCCCCTGCACAGGGCGCCGCCCTGCCCATTCTGTGTCTCCTTCTCTCCTCCTTCGTGCTGGAAAGTTGCAGAAAACGAGTCCCCTCTGTTCTCAGATGGGCGCCTTGCGTGTCAGGCCGCAGACTCAGGTCCAGAGAGGTGGGTGGGTGGGGTGGGCCTGGAGGAGGACAGGCCTGCTGAGGGATGCAGGGGAGGAGTATCACATGGCCAGAGAGCTCAGCCGGACTGCGCGGAGGCCACCCTGAGGCGGAGGTGGGAGCGTGTCTGCAGGGGCTCTGGGGCAGGGGCATGGGGAGGTGGAGGTGGTGAGGGGACATACGTGCCTGACGCCATGGCAGAGAGACCCTGGAGCAGGGGCACCCGGAGCACGTAGTCCACCCTGTCTCTGGGGACTGTGCTGCTGAGCCCCTGCCCCCAGCAGAGGGAGCCCTGTGCCTCGACGTGGCACAGCCGCAGAGCTGTGACTGGGGTTTCTCTGTGGCGGGATCATCCCTCTGTGCAGACCTCCGCGGTTTCCTCTGAACCAGCTCTCCTCTGAGTCTGGCATCCGGATCGTTGCAGACGTGGGGGCTGCTCAGCAGAGGGCGGCAGAGCTGCATGCTCTTCATGCCGAGCCCGGATTTGCAGAGGCCAGGCCAGCCCTCAGGCCTGCCTCAGGACACAGGGACATGAGGATACGGGGACAGAACCGAGCGCTTTCCAGGGGCTGTCTTCAGGGACTGCTTGTGAAGCTCCCCCTTCAAGACTGTCCCCACTTTTCTGCAGCTGTGAGGTCGGGGGTCGAACAGAACCCACTGAGAAGCCTTCTTTTCTCCACCCCACCCCTCCGTGTAAAACAGGAACAGAGGAAGTGTGAGTGACCTGGAGAGGGCGTTCCTGCTCCCAGGGGCCAGTCCCAGCTCAGGGTCCCTCCTTGTCTGTAGTTGTGTGTGGGGGCGTTCCTGCTCCCAGGGGCCAGTCCCAGCTCAGGGTCCCTCCTTCTCTGCAGCTGCATGTGGGGGCTTTGGCCTTGGGGCTGTTTCGGTTCCTCCTGGCCTTCCTGCCTCCCTGAGGACAGCTGGCCTGGGGCTCTGGTGGGGCTTCCATGGCCAGTGACACTTACCCTGTTTGGGAGCCGAGACCTCTTTCTTTGGCGTGGTGTGTGTTGCCCGCCCGGGAGAGCTGGCCGTGTCTGTGGTTGCAGGCTGCTGGCTGTGGGCAGGAGAGTGGGTGGGACAGGCCTGCGTGCAGAGCTGACCTTGGACCTCGATCTCTTCACTGTGTTTGGCTTTCCAGATTCCCGTCCTCACACCCCGAGGTTACCTGGTGAGTGATTGTAGGGGTCCCCGTGGGGGGCCTTTTCAGGCCAGTGAACCGGGAGGGTCTCTGGGACATTGGCCGGTGTTGGCGCTGAGGCTTGGCTGTGCCCAGCGAGTCTTGAGAGCCAGGACCGTTTCAGTCCTGACTCACCTGGGAGGGAAGCAGTTCCGACCGGCGCCACTGTCCTTGCTGGCTGGAGGCAGGCCAGGCTTGTCTCTGTTTGGCCTTGAAGCTGCAGACAGTGAGAGGTAAAAAGAGTGGGGCAACCCTGTCACTCTGGGTCCACGGTGACCAGACCGTCCAGGCGCCCTGCTGTGTGGGCAGCTGGAGAGGCCAGGGCTTCCCGGGGCTGTGGCAAGGCCAGGACAGGGCCCAGGGGTGGGAGCCCCTGGACAGACAGTGCCGCTCGCTCTCCTACCCTGTGGTCCCTGTGCCGGTTCCCTGACCCCTTTGCCCCTCCTGGGCCTGCGCTGCGTGGGGCAGCGAGGCCCCATGACGGGCTTGTTGGATGAATGAACAGAGGAAACCAGGAGGCGAGCAGCGTCCGTGGTTCTGCAGAGCTGCATCTAAAGTGTCTTCTGAGATTCCTTCCCGTTGATCTGTGGGCGTTTCTGGAATGCTGTCAGTCTTGTGTCCTCATGCATGGTGACCCTTTCCAGCTGACGGGGGCCAGTGGGTGTAGCAGGGACAGGCAGAGCTGCAGGTGTTTGTTGCCTGTACACTCTGCATAGGACACCCAGAGGAGGCTATTGTACGAGGACTTTCATAAGGGACGGAGTGTATCTCACAAACTGCTGGTGGGAATGCGCACTGGTACAGCCACTATGGAAAACAGTATGGAGATTCCTCAAAAACTAAAAAGAGAAATACCGTACGACCCAGCCATCCCGCTACTGGGTATCTACCCAAAGAACTTGAAATATGCAATCCAAAGTGATCTGTGTACTCCTGTGTTCATTGCAGCACTATTCACAATAGCCAAGATATGGAAACAGTCCAAGTGCCCTTCTACAGGTGACTGGATAAAGAAGATGTGGTATGTACACAATGGAATACTACTCAGCCATAAAGAAGAGAAGATCATCCCATTTGCAACAACATGGATGGACCTGCAGGGAATTACGCTCAGCGAAATAAGCCAGACTGAGAAAGACAAACACCAGATGATTTCACTCATATTTGGAATATAAAGAAGCACATGGACAAAGAAAACAGTTCAGTGGTTACCAGGGGAAGGGGAGTGGGGGGTGGGCACAGGGGGTCAAGGGGAGCACTTATGCAGTGACAGTCAAGAAATAATGTACAACTGAAATTTCACAATGGTGTAAACTATTATGAACTCAAGAAAAATTAAAAATATACTTATTAATACATTAAAAAACCCCCCCAAATAAAGGATAGAGTGTGGGGTTGGGGCTGGAGGCTCAAAGCCCGGCTGGAGGGGGCGACTTTAGACAAGCTCACCAGACGGTTCAGTGCAGTTATGGAGGAGGGTCCTGGGGGAGCAACCGGGAAGGAGAAGCTGGGCTGTGGGTGCGGAGAACACTCCGGGACTTCACAGCTGCTTCTGCACCCCCTTCCCACAGCCGCTCCTCACCCCAGGAAAGTCCGTGACACACAGGGTGCTGGACCCGCGTGTACAGCTCGAGGGAGCCGCTAGGGGCATCTCTTCCCGGCTCTGTGCTCCGGGAGCCTTGCTTCCAAGTTGGCCAGAGCAGGAGTATTTACACCAAAGGCAGGGGCAAAAGCTGCAAATCGGGGCTGTTTTATGTTTTGTTCTGTTTTCTCACCTCTGATGCAGGGTCTTAGGGGAGAGAGGGACCCACGTGGTCTCCAGGGTGGGATTCCTGTGGAACTGGGGCGGTTCATGCTGCCCATGGACACGGTCCCTAAGCTGAACTCTCTGCAGACGTGGGGCTCAGAGCCTGTGGAAGTGGGGCTTGGGGAATGTGGGCCCCACCCTTCGGATGTCCCACTGTAGGGGGAGGGTCTGGGCCGGTCACGTCTTGAGTGACGTGGGCTGACCATGTGGTAGCTTCCAGGGCCCTCTCTGCCCCTGCCCCTTGCCGTCCTCTTTTTGGGTGTCTGCTGCAGTGCAGGTGCCCTAGATCAGAGACCCAGGTGGGTGGGGCCCTCCTCCCTCACAACCTGCACCCTAGCCACACCTCCTCTCACCTTACACAGGAGGCCCTCCAGCATCCCTGGATTTGCGTTCACTGCCAACCAGCCTGATCCCCCTTCCTGGGTCCACTGTGGCCCTGACCCTCTGGACGGTTCTCAGGTGGTGCTCTGGCCCTCTCAATGAGCTGCTCAGATCCCAGGAGCCCCCCGCCCCTGCCACTCTCTCCGGTCCCAGTGGACAGATCCAGACCCTGCTGTACTTGCCTCTCTCCCCCGGGCAGCAGGAGTCCCGGAGGTCTCAGCCTGGGGAAAGGAGGGCTGTTGACCGATACCCAGTGCTTCCTCCTTCCAGGTGCGTCCTGTCTGCCCTGGCGTGGCCTTGGACCTGCTTTGGGGGAAGGTCATGAGGGAAGGAAGTGTGTCCCTTCTGGGCAGAGGCGATACGACCCTTGTGTTCTCTGCCAGGTTTCTGCTCCTGCAGCCTGGGAATGTCTCAGGCAGTCCTGCTCTGACCACCTGGGCCTACAGTGACTCACCAGGCAGCCCGTGCAGGCAGGGAGCTCGAATGAGAAAGGAGCCCTTGTGAGATCTGGGGGCTGTTTGTTTTGCAATGTGGCCCAGCCCACTGTGACTGACGCAGGAGGCCATCGGGAATCAGGAAGGCGGTGAGGCATGGCTCCTGCCTGAGGGACGGTGACCCAGAGGCACCTGTTTTCAAACCTGAAGCAAAATGAGACGAGATCTCCCTCTTGGGTCTGAGGATCTGTGGATGAGCACGGCCTGGACTTTCCTCTGTCTTCTCTCCAAAAGCTGGTGGCTAGAGGATCGGCTGTGTGAAATGTTTTCCAGGCCAGGGTTGTTTCCGGTTGTTGTGTGATGTTCACAGGCTCTGGCTCGTAGGCAGATCTCGGCTGTGCCGCTCTCTTTTCAAGCAGCCCTCACTGCTTCCTGCAGTGCTGCCACGAGAACAGGGGACCTCTGCCTGCCTTGCTCACTCGGCCCTAGTCGTGCGGGCAGTGGTGTGACCAGGCGGGCCCTGGGGCTCCTGGCCGAGCACAGCATGGCCACAGCAGATGTCACAGGCCCTGGTTCTGGGAATGTGTGCCCATCCTTCTCTTGAGTTCTTTGTGGGAAAGGCAGAATTGTAAGCTAGATGCAGCCTCACCACTGCCCACCTGTAAGGTGAGGTGAAGGTGGCTTGTGGCCAGCAGGCTGGACTGCCCACTGGGCCTGGTCCCTGCCTCCTTGCCCCCTCCAGTGTCCCCACGTGGGCTCGTTCACCAGTTGGTCAGCCCTGTGGCTGCATGTTCCTCCTCCTGGCCGACCCCCATGCCCCAGGAGCCACCAGATCTGCCTCTGCAGAAGCCTCCCCACGTGAAGGCTGGCTTCCAGATCTGTGGTTCCCCAAATGTGACAGAGGAGTTGGGCCGCACTGGTGTAGAACGTCCGTAGTCAGGCTAGTGGGGATTTAACAGTTCTCTCCAGGAGAAACTCAGTGGGTATCAGTTCATGTTTGTGCAAATAAAGGGCTCATTCTGGCGATCTTCCCCACACAGAGAGACTTCCTGCCCTGGTCATTTAATTCTGCCTAAAAAACAATTTTAGAAAATGAGGCATTGGGAGGCCCCCTTCAAGGAAGTCTGAAAATCCCCCATGAACTGTCAGCCCACATCCTACCCAACAGCGAGGCAGACACAGGCCAGGAGGCCCGCGGTTCATTACTTTGCATTGTTCAGGGTTCCAGCTGGTTCAGAGAGCCAAGAACAGACACCCAGTGAATCACTCCTGCAGGCTGTATCCTTGCTTACTTAAAGTGCCCAAGAGAACTGGCTGAAAAGACATAAGAACTAATGGGAAAGACCCGTAAGATGTCTTACTACAAAAGTTTTAAAAATCCCTATCTTGTCTACATTGCAGAAGTCATCCATTTAGAAAATATGTTATAAAAGCCTGTGTATTAGGCTGAGAAGTGCCCCCAAAGATGAATTCACTTCCTAATTTCTGAAGTGTGTGAATGTTATCTTCTATGACAAAAGATTGATTAAATAAGGATTTCAAAATGAAGGGATTACCCTGCATTATCTGGGTGGGCCCTAAATACAAGAGAGAGGCAGAGAGAGTTGATTGACAGGCAGAGGAGGAGGCCTTGTGAACACAGAGCAGGGAGAGAGCTGGAGATGCTGGTCCCGAAGGTCGAAGTGAGGCAGCCACGAGCACAGGAATGCCGGCGGCCGCCAGGAGCTGAAAGAGGCAAGGAACAGCTTTCCCCTAGAACCTGGGAAGGGATGTGGCCCTGGGGACACCATGCTTTTGGACTTGTAGCCTCAGAAGTGTGAGACAATAAATTCCCGTTCTCTTAAGCCACCAAGTGTGTGTGTTCCAGCAGCCACAGGAACATCCTGTGTTCGTGTGTCCTGCGTCCTCTAACCTGACGTTTCTCCCCGCTGGAAAGGTTTCTTATGGCGGCTGGGACCGCAGGATGGATTACTATTTTGAGTTCACTTGTTTTACTCACTCACTCATATCATGTAATAAGAGAATTTGATCGAAGGCGCTGACCTCTGCCCGATGCCCCCTCCCGTGCCCCTGGCTGCAATGCCCGTCTCCCTGGTTCACCCGAGGGCCCCTTCTTCAGGGACCCTGATGGGTGGGGAGATGTTCCACCTGAACCTCCCTCCTGGAGCTCTTTGCTCAGGTGACCCCCGCTGGCACAAAGAGGGGTGAGGTCAGGGAGGAGGAGTGAGGGACGACCCTGCTTCTGCAGAGATGGGCTTGATGCCTCGGCTCCTGACTTGGTGTGTTTCCAGGAGCTGGGTAAAGAAGATCGCCCTCACCAATGTGCGTGGGCATCAGCGCATCCATTGAGGGGCTCCCATAGGACAACAGCAGAGGAGGGCGGATTCAGTGTTTTTGCTTGAGCTGCGACGCCATATTCCCTGTCCTCGAACTTCAGTGCTCCTGGTTCTCAGCCTTCCGATTTGGACTGGGGCCACACCGCCAGCTCTCCCGGGTCTCCAGCTTACAGACGGGAGAGCATGGGACTTCTCAGCCTCCACAGTCACGTGAGCCAATCCCTCGTAATAACTCTCTTTCTCTCTAGCTGTGCTTATCGTATTGCTTCTGTTTCTCTGGAGAGCCCTGACTAATACATACAGCATCCTTACAGGGAAGACGAAAGGATTTTTTTCTTTGTTTTTTTGTTTTTTTTAGGAAGATTAGCCCTGAGCTAACATCTGCAGCCAATCTTCCTCTTTTTGTTGAGGAAGACTGGCCCTGAGCTAACATCCGTGCCCATTTTCCTCTAGTTTATATGTGGGATGCCACAGCATGGCTTGACAAGCGGTGCCATGTCCACACCTGGGATCTGAACCGGCGAACCCTGGGCTGTCGAAGCAGAGCATGTGAACACTGCTGCACCACCGGGCCGGCCCGCAAAATGTTTCAGATAGTGTAATCACATTCCTCTAGGATGACAAGCAGTAAAAATCTCACACGGAGCGCATACTGTGTGGGTGGGGCACGTCTGTGCTGGAACAGTGCCTCTGTCCAAGGAAAGGCGAACGCAGACCCCAGGGCCCCAGGGTGGACACAGCGTCCCACAGGACACCATTGTTCCTGTTTGAAAGTATTGCTGACAAGAGAAAAAATAGTCCGCCCCCAGCCACCGCGGACTTGGGGGTACCCAGGAGACACGGGAGTCCCTGTCAGCCGAAGCAAATGAGAGCAGCCTCCGGGTGGGTTGGCAGAAGTGGAATGCCACGTGGCTGGAGAAGGAGCTGCTTTCACGGGGAATGCTGGGGTGACAGTCTGGTTTAACTCCCACACTGTCACATGACATCCCTCCTCTCACACGGGGTGTCGCAGCTTCAGAAGTCCAGGGCAGCATGGAGGGCAGAGCAGCCAAACAGGACGTGTCAGGAGACGCCCACTCTGGTAACTTAGCCCCCACTACCCCCGCCTGTGAGCCATTGACAATAAAGAGCTTCCTCTTCAATCATGGACTCCTAGCAGATATCCATTCTGTTTGGTAAAAACTTCATTCCACACTTGAGCTTAGAACTCAGTTTGGACCAAGAGTTTCCATATACGGTGCAACCCGACCGCTTCAGCAGCCCCCGTCAGGACGGCCGCATCGCGAACGTCCCAGACACACACATATGCACACCTGGAGATGGACTGGAGGACACTCAACCAGCCCTGCCCTGGGATAAACGTCCAACAGGGTCACCGAGAGGAAAGGGGCTGGGCTGTGCTACACAAGTTGACAAAGCCTGGGCTCAGATGAGCTGAGAAAAAACTGGCCCCGGTGCTGGGCCCTGGTCCCGGCTCTTGGGAACCATGAAACAGAGGTTGAGAGGCCGCCTGTGGCTGTTACCACGGCTAGCGATCTCGGAGGACTCCACATGCAGCAGTCAGCGGGTCTCAACCCACCAGGGTGCAGACATCACCTGAGGAACCTTTAAAAGCAGTGATGCCAGCCGCCCCCCACCCCCACCCCGCCATGAAGTCAGAGCTCTCGGGGCCATGCTGTTTAAAGCTCCAGACTCGGGGGGCTGAGACCCCTGAGCTGGGAAGAGCTGCTGAGGGGGCAGCGATGGGGCCTCGGGCTAGTCTGCTTCCCTCACCTGCCCGGGTGAAGGGTCCCAGGTGACATCCAGTCAGAGGCCCTGATGCAGTTAGAATTTGAAATAAAAGGAGAGCCAAAGCCAGGTGCTTTCCCACCTGTGCCCATTGGCAGGTTTGTGGTGGGAGTGGGGGTGGGGGCTGTAGGGTGGGTGATACTGTGATGTAATAAGAAGATGTAATTGGTCTTCACTGGTCTCTGGCACAGAAAACCCTTGGAATTTCCTGAGTGGTAAGAGTGATAGAGGTATCTTGATCTTGATAGCAAACCCGTCTCAACCACGTCTGAGTTTCTGTGGATGAGGACACTGGGAGAACACCTAAGGGTGGGGCTGGCCGCCAGGGGAACCCCCTATGTGATTGGAGAGTTGGCACTTCGGTCCCACCGTCCAACCTCCAGGGAGGGTTGAGGGACTGGAGGTTGAATCGGTCACCAAGGGTCAGGGATTTAGTCAGTCATGCCTACGTCGTGGAACCTCCATGAAAATCCAGGAGGACGGGGCTCAGAGCTTCCGGGTGGGTGAGCACGTGGAGGTGCTGGGAGGGTGGTGTGCTCAGCGTGGAAGCTCCGAGCCCCTCCTGAGCCTTGCCCTGGGCCTCACTTCATCTGGCTGCTCATGTACGTCCTTTGTAATGAACGGGTAACCTAGTGAGTGAACGGGTTTCCTGAGTTCTGTGAGCCGCTCTAGGAAATTAGTGGCATCTCCGATCTACAGCCTATCCTCAGAAGCACCGGGGACAACCGGGACTTGCAACTGGCATCTGAAGGGGACAGGGGCAGTCTTGTAGGACTGAGCACTTCACCCGTGGGATCCAACAGCATCTCCAGGTAGGCAGAGTCAGAACTGAGTTAAATTTGTGGGACCCCCAGTCAGTGTCCTCGGAGAACTGAGTTAACTGCTTGGTGGTGTGGAAAAAACACACACATTGGAGTGGCCAGCCGTCTGGCTTTCTCCAGCTTGCATCATTTCCCGGCGTCAGTGACTTTCAGGGTTAACACTGCAACATCCGAGACAAACCAGGATAGCTGGTCACTGGGGCCAGGCTGCAAAGCTTCTCCCAGGTCATTCTGATGCCCTCCCATCCCTCCCCACCTGATGTTATCCACCTGCTGCCCTGGGTCAGTGACCTGCTTGTGTCGGGAGCTCGGTACTGAATTCTGGCTCTGGGCTGTGCTTGCTGTGGCCCAGCTCAGTGTGGTTTAGCACACAAACCCCTGAAAGCAACCCTCGCTCCCCCGCTCTGAGATGCCCCCGCAGGAGGTAGAGGGAGGGTTAGGTCCCACCTGATCTGTGGGGTCAGCAGCGTCCCAGTTCCCGGACAGGTCTTGTGGACGCGTGACTGACCTGGTGACGAGAAACTGCTGAAACACACTGATGGTACACGATGCAGGTTTCATTAAAAACAGATAAAACAAAACCCACTAAAGGTTAGTTCACTGAAAGATTCCAAAGGCCAACGTTGGGTTACTTAGATATATGGTGTAAGATTTTGGTCCTACTTGAGTCTCCCAACCTGTCTTTAAATCAGGAAGCTGGAGGGTGTGTTTTTGGTCGACAGGCCTGAGTGGTTAAACAGTGAGGGAGGCACTAAGACTGGAGGTTTAGGGCCGGAGGGCGTGCAGAGCATCATGAGAGAATCCCACCCGCGGCTGTAAGAAAGGGAACTGTGATTCCACTGAGTATCTGTGTAGACATGGATGCATAGGAAAGGGACTGGAGGGCACCCACTGAGGGGACCCAAAGGAAGGAGAGCAGTTCGGGGGAAGATGCTGGACTTGCCTCGGACATGCCCGTGTGACACCACGTGGAGGTGTCTGCAGGGGCTTGGGACTGGAGTGGGAACCTATGGCAGGCAGACCACGTGTGAGGATGGGCTCGTCTGCCAGGGGGTTATAGAGGGAAGGGTCGAGACTAGGAACATGCAGAGCCACCACCATTTACAGGGTAGGAACGAGGATGGCCCACACCCAACACTGTCTGAGAGCCGTTCCATTTTGTTCAGTCGGGTTTCCACACTGTGGATAGACAATTACAGCCTGATTCTCTTCCCAGGCATGGAGGCTGTGGCACCATGATAGGGTAAAAGGTTGCCCTTTGGCCGTGCTGTTTCGAATACGCTTGTTTAGGAGTCGGGCGAGTCCCGGGAGTGAGGAAGGAGTGATGCTAGGTGCCTGCAGCGTGATGGGCCCAAGGCGGGAGCGTGCACGTGGGCCCTGGCCACACTGCGGCTTGGCGAGGGACAGGCATGAGGCCCGGGAAGAGGATGACTCTTGGCCTTAGGTGGGATGAGGAGAGGCACTGAGCCCCCTGAGACACGTAGTGAGGGAGGAAAGGGTGGTGATGGTGGAGCATCTGGGAGCTGGGCCAGGCGGGAGCCCCACAGGCTGAGGTCGGCCCCCCCGTGTGGGACAGAAAGAGCTTCCTCTCTCTGGAAGGAGGAGGGCAGAAGGGACATCCAGCGTGAGGCTTATGAGCTGTGGAATTGTCGTGGGCAAGGTACTCAGTTTTGTTTCTTTGAACTTTGCTCTAAGTTCTGTGCCACGTGCTTTTCCTTCCCAACTCGTATCAGTTACGATTTCACACTGGCCGAGGGGTCCCTCTGTGTCCCTCCCGGAGGGCAGGGACGGGTCTGTTTCTGCCCGGGTCTGCTTCACAGTGAGTGGCAGGGAGCAGGTCTGCACTCCATGAGTGCTTTCTGAAGGAACGGATGCTTCCTAATCAAGAGTCATGCTGGGCTGTTAATAAAGAATTTAAGACTTTTAGGGAGAAATAAGGGCAAACATCATCTGGAAGTGTGTTTCCTTACATGAACAAGACGCCCAAACTTGCGCCCTGCGTCTACCTCTCCCCTCCTCGCTCAGTCTGTGTGATATGGAGACGAGGGAAAGAGCGAGCGCTGTGGTGGGTGCCGAGGATGTTGAAATATTGGAATCCAGCCTTTCCCTGGGTTCCTCAGGACCTCCTCACCCTGCAGGGCTCTCACTGACCACCCCTGGCCCTGGCGCACACCATGCCTGCTGAGACGGTCCCAATGGTGGGTCCTCGTGAGTCTGGATTATCACACTTGGATACCGTAACATACCATCGTTACACGAGACACGGGCTGGTTCCCTCGGCCGTGTGGCCCTGGATCAACCGTGACTTCCAGGTCACCCGATGAGACAGCCCATGAGGAGCACACTTTAAAACTCTTGCTTGGCTTGTGTTCCACTGCCCCATTCCCCCAAGAGCTGTGTAGACGGCGGGAGAGGCGCCCGTTTCCCAGCTTGCCTCTGCCCTGTTCCCGCTCCACAGTGGGCCCCCCTTCTTGGGGCTGCCCCATATCTTGTGACAACTGCCAAGGAGCAGGGGCAGGGACTGGGCCAGAGAGGGCTATGACGCACAGCCAACAGAGGAGGAAGGAGAGAGGAGAGCCCGAACCAGCATCCGCAGTTGACCCTGCGAGTGTGTAGAGCGTGGGGAGGGGGCAGAGCCCAGACTCCGTGGACAGCTTCCATGAGAGTTTTATTGATCTTTTTCTATACACTTGATTGAGGAACACTATAAACAATGGGATGTAATCTTACACCGTGATAGGTTCAAATAGAAATAAAATTGCACCACCTTTAATCAGACACCGTCCTGATTTTCACACAGGAAAACACATATTTAACCTTATAAGACTCAAGCAATTCCTTTTTGAAGTCTCTCTGAAAAGGTCGTACGTATCAGGAGGGGAGGCTGTCCCTTCTTATGAGTCCATGTATTCACCTGGCCATATCAGTCATTTGAGGGCAGAGAAAAGCATAGTGGATTTTTGGTTAATGGATGAAACTGTCAAAGTGTCATAAGCCACGTCAGGAGGCAGGTCACATCCGGCCTGATGGAGGGGTGTGGTGTGGGGTGGTCCCATCTGAGTGGTTCAGGTGGCCTTGTTCACCAAGCATCCTAACTCTCAGCAAACTTAGGGTTCATGACTGTCATGGTGGTGCTCTTGAAAAGGGCATCGTCCTGGTGAGAAAAGCAAACATGACTGTCAGTGCAGGGGAGGAGGAGCTGGGAGCGGGGTCACCTTCCCTCGGGTCTGGCCCCATTGGCAGAGCTTGCCCTCAGCAGCATGTGCTCTGAGGATGAGCTCCAGGGTGGGGAGGGGGACAGGTATGCAGCCTTGAGTTGATGTCCACCGCCTCCTGGGGGAGAGGTTACCCATGGCTGGGAAGATGCGCCCCTCTGGATGGGACCAGTTACTTCGCCCCTGGGGACGGCCACTCACTTTGTCCTACTGGGACTTGAGCTGCTCCGTCTTGAAACGGCTACTTCCTCAACTTGCTCAGGTAGATCAGGGATATCCCAATGATCAGCAGGAGGAGGCCAATGAGCACAACTCCCCCCACAGTGCCCCCGACGATGGCAGCGATGTTGGGGCTCTCCACGCACTCTGGGGTAAGGAGGAAGCACACGCATACCAAGCGTCAGGCCCTCCCCGGCTCACTCAGCCCCATGTGTGCCCCGTCCCAGGTCGCTGCAGTGCTCAGGGTCCAACTGCTGGACTCATGGTGACAGGTAGGTGAGCAAAATGGCCAGGATTGGGGCAGAGCTAGGGACAAGGCCAGACCTTGTGGTTTCAAATGAAATTCGGTCCCTTGTTTACAGAGAAAATGAGGCCCAGGTTGCCAGCCTACCATGGCAGAGCCTGGAGGAGAACTGGCTGTGACCAGGCCGTGAGCTCAGGCCACATGGAGGGCCTGTGCCCCATCTGCCCCCTGGGGTTCCCATCGCCAGGCGGGGGAGCTAGGAGCAGGTCTCAGTCCTGCAAGGGCCCTGGTGGACTGCTGGCCCACCCCTGGTGTGTGGCCAGGCCTCCCAGCCCTGTGATCCGATCCCTCAGCCTCTGTGATGGGAAGGGGTGGGGGTGCAGAGAGTTCGTGTGCTGCACACACCCCTGGGCACTACTTGTCTAAAGCCCTTAGTCCGCTCTTGTCGTGGGTCTATTTCCACTAAGTCCCAGAGACCCACACATGCTTTGTCATTGTCACCCAGTGAACCTCGACCCACCCAACCCTCCCTACCTGTTGGGGACCTATGGATCCACCACCTGTCCCCATTCCTCCTGATCCCCTCCCCATGTTCCATCCAAGGGCAGGCTCTGCCCACACCACCCCCACGACCCCAACCCAGCCCACCCCCACCCATCTCCACTCTTCAGTGCCTGGACCTCGAAGCAGCCCCTCATAGGTCTGCGTCCACCCGGCCCCTCAGGGCTCTGCATCTGGCTTTTGAAAACACAGTTCAGCTGTGCGGCTTGCTCTTCTGAAACCCTGCTAACAGTTCCTTGTATGTTTCAAAAGAGACCCAAACGCCTCCCAGGACTCACTGACCCCCGTAATGACCAGCACTGGGTGCCTCCGACTGCACACCCTGTGTCCCGTCTGTCTGGACACCCTTGTTCTCTGGTCTCAGCTGCAATGTCTCCTCCTCCAAGAGACCTTCTGACCTCTGACCTCGGGGAACACCCCAACCTGCAGTCATCTTTGTACCTCATGACCCCAGCCACATCCTCCTGCCGTCTGGGGCACTGGTGTTCTGACATGTTGGGGAAGGGTGCCCCCCACCTTGGAACGTGAACCCTGTGAAGACAGGGTTGGCATCTCCGTGTCCTCGACCATTACGGGGCCACATATAGCCCTGGAATCCAGGTGACGGACGGGCTAACAGCGTTTGGGAAACCCCAGTGCCTGGGCTTCCCGGGTCCCTGGATCCCCTCCCCAGGGCTGAGTTCTGAGCAGGAGGATTCTCACACCCACGGGTGATCCTGGTGCAGCCATTAGTGGACCAGCCCTTGGGACCTGTGGCTTATGAAGTGAATAAGAGAAACCTCAACTAAATTGGAGTCTGGAAATCCTGCAGGGGGAGCTCTCACCCTTGTGACTCATGGGCAGTTACACCAAACGGGAGGAGACATAACTTTGCTTCTTGGATAGGAAGTACAGCTACTTTATTACGGAAGATTTCTTTCCCAACCAGGCAACAGCTCAGCCAATGAGAAATGCCACAGCTCAGCCTATGAGAAGCCATTGCTGCCCTCAATTGCTACTTTCCCCCAATGACTTTCCTTTAGAACAGCCCTGCCCTCTCCCCCTTTCTCTCTCTATAAAATCAGTCCCCTCCATTCTTCCCTGGATTTGTCTGTGGTTCAGCATAGTGTGCATGTGTCAAATTGCAGTGCCTTGGGCTGTTCCTAGATAAAGTCATTTTCTTTATTTGCTTTTAAAGTTGACAGGCTTTAAGCCTCAGTCAACCGTCATGGGGAGATAACCAGCATGGTACCCGTAGGCACGCAGTTGGGTCCGTCCCCTGATTGGCGCAGCTCTACTGCAAGGGGACAAGCCATCCCTGCCCCTCAGCACCCCAATGTGAGGTCACAGCCATGAGGGAGAGGCCTGGGGGTGGGAGGACCATGTCCTGGACGCTCACCTGACCCTGCCCGGCCGGCCCTCCTGAGTGGACAGAGACCCTTGCCACCTCTGGCGGCCTCATGACTGGAGCCCTGGCGGCCATATCCCGCCTCGCGGGGTCTCACCTCGCGTATCCTCCACGTGGATGTCATAGCTGTGCATCCCGTCCCGCTGACGCAGGGTGTACGTCATCCAGCAACCCTCCGAGTCCCGCTCTTTGCATTGCCGATTCACCGAAGGGGCTTCCTGCAGCAGCGTCAGGTTCTTACACTCCACACTGCAGGTCTTCTCGTAGGGGCCCTTCTTGAATTTCAGGCACTCGGCACAGGAGCTGCGGAGGAGCAACCACATGAGCGTGTGTGCAAGAGGGTGTGCACACACATGCAGGAGGGGGCGAGGCTGTGAGAGTACCTGAGGGGGCGAACAGGTGTGTGAGAGGATCTGGTGCTGTGAGAGGAGTGAGGGGTGAGGGAGCAGAAGGAAGTGAGGGGGTGTGAGAGGGTGTGAGAGGGTGTGAGGCGTCAGGGTGTGAGAGGGGGTGTGATGGGGTTGGGGAGGTGTGAGGGTGTATTGGAGGAAGTATGAGGAGATGTGAGAGGGTTGGTGTTGCAAGGTGACTGGGAGCCATGTGGGCTTCCGTGCTGCTGGGACAGGAGTGGTCGGGGCGGGCCGGGGGACAGGGATGGGGACGGGGGGCAGGTACCCAAGGGAGTGAGGAAGGGTGGATTGGCCCATGACACCTGGCACTGAAGGAGGCCGCAGGGGTGCAAATGGAAGAGGGCCCCTTGCCCAGGCTCTGGTCCTCCTGGGGTGACAGCTACGCTGTAGTGAGCTGAGCACTCACATGTAGCTGCCACAAGGTGACGGGCAGCCCGGGCAGTCCTGGCACAGGGGCGGCTGGTAGCCATCGTCGCACTCGCACACGTTGCAGCGGCACCGGCCACGACCACTGCACTCTATCCCGCGCTGGTTCAGGCAGCCATCAGTGGACCGTGGGCACTGGCACGCCGAGCCCTCGAAGCCCTCCTTGCACTGGCACTTGCCGCAGTTGCAGGTTCCCCGCTCTGGAAGACAGGGGGTCGCTGCAGACTCGCCCTCGTCCCCCCAGACCAGTGACCTGGCCATCCGCCCGCCAGAACCACAGCCTAGACATGCTGCTGCTCTCGTGCGGCTGAAGGAGAACCCCGAGGGTCTGTCTCTCTGCCCATCTGACCCCAACGTCTGCTGTCTGTCCCCTCGCACTCACTCTCGCCCCCACAGACTTGGCCGTCGTAGCGTTCGCAGTTGACGTTGTCGCACTCGCAGAACTGCCCGAAGATCTCCTTGTTGGGCACGTCACTCTTGTGGCAAATGCACTGCCCGCACACGCAGTCCCCCAGCCCCGAGCAGACGAGGGAGTTGCTGTCCTTGCGGCAGCTTCCTTCCAGCTCCTGGCTGCTCCGGCCCTGCGTCTGGCACTCACAGTTCTTCCCAATGTAGCCAGCGTCACACCTGGGGTGGGAGGGACGCAAGGTCAGGGCCCCTCCCCATGACGGTGCCGGACGCTGCTCCTTCCTATAGGACCCCCGGCCCTGGGCTGGAAACAACTGCTGCTGCACATCTCACTGCCCCTGGGGTGGGGTGCACCCTGCGCCCGACTCACCTGCAGATGCCGCACTCCACGGAGCCCTTGTCCCGGCACAGGCTGCGGTCCCGGCTCATGTCGCGGCACTGACACTCGCACTGGGGCAGGACCTGCATGGTCACCGTGTCCGAGAAGCCCAGGGCCCGGATGACAAACGACTGCACCTGGACGCACTCGGTGGCTGTGACCTTCACCTGGAAGGTGATCTGTCACGGAGAACAGCATGGCTCAGGCGAGGCTGGGACACTGGGGTCACCCTGCTCCCATCTCCTCAACCAGCAGTCTGGACTCGGATGCCCTGGGGGTATCGTGGTGAGGGTGGGGTCCTTGGCCCCGAGGCATGGAGGGCGCCAGCCTCTGCAGGGGCCCCAGATGGCAGTGGATTGAGGTGTGGGGATGGGAAGAGCACGGACACTCCAGGATTCCCCAGGACTTGGGACATGAGATGACAGAAGAGAGAATGAGAGAGAGCTGGAAACTCAGAGGCCGCGATGTCAGAACAGGCGGCAGCAGGCCCGGTGGAGCCCCTTGTGCCCACACACCGCCATCTCCAGGCTGGGCGGTCTTTAGAGTACCTTTATCACACATTCATTAAAATGGATTTTACAGTGACTTTGTAAAGGACATACACTTCGTCCTTAAGTCTGGCTGTTAGATGCCAGAATGCCACGGGAAGTCCTAGGATCTGGATCTGGAGTTGTGTCCTGACCCTGAATGAGAGGGTCAAGATCCTGCCAAGAGGAATCAAGTGCGACAGAGCAGAGTCCCCGCCTCCCCTGCACACTGGAAGCAGCTGCCAGCACAGAGCCTCAGGGAGCGTGGTCTCAAGAGCAAAGCAGACCCCGAGTCACTGTAGGTGAACCTCCACAGGTGCTGAGCGAAGGACCAGAGACGTCAGGAAAGTGTGTAAGAGGCAGTCAGCCAATCACAAGATCAAATGGATTCCCGTGTGCATCACCCAGTATGAGGGGGGTATGTTGGTAGAAGTTCACATGCAACATTTAGTGAGTAACGTTTCTGAAGGAATTCCAATGTCGTATTATGAAATGCAGCGATGGGGCCGGCCCTGTGTCTGAGTGGTTGGGTTCGCGCACTCTGCTGTGGCAGCCTGGGGTTTCGCCACTTCGGCTCCTGGGCGCGGACCTCGCCCGGCGCATCAGGCCATGCTGAGGCGGCATCCCACAGAGCACAACTAGAAGGACCCACAACTCAAATCTATACAACTATGTACTGGGGAGCTTTGAGAATAGAAGGAAAAATAAAATCTTTAAATGCAATGAAAGCAAGTTTTTTTTTTTCACCATTTTTTTCCCCTTTTTCTCCCCAAAGCTCCCTGGTACATAGCTGTATATTCTTCATTGTGGGTCCTTCTAGTTGTCGCATGTGGGACGCTGCCTCAGCGTGGTTTGATGAGCAGTGCCATGTCCGCGCCTAGGATTCGAACCAACGAAACACTGGGCCGCCTGCAGCAGTAGCGCGATCTTAACCACTCGGCCACAGTGCCAGCCCCGAAAGCAAGTATTTTGCTGAATATGAGTTCACAGCCAGTGACAGAAAAAATCAATTGTTTTGGTCATAATGAATTTAAACTATTATGGAGATAACTTTGCATATTTGTAATCATCTGTGGCGCCCATGCTTTAATGCCATGTTTAATGTCAAAAACATAACAGAGGGGCAGACCCGTGGCTGAGTGGTCAAGTTCGCGTGCTCCACTGTGGCGGCCCAGGGCTTCGCTGGTTCAGATCCTGAGCGTGAACCTAGCACCGCTCATCAGGCCATGCTGAGGCAGCATCCCACATGGCAGAACCAGAAGGACCTGCAGCTAGAATATACAACTATGTACTGGGGGCTTTTGGGGAGAAAACAAAAAAGAAGAAGATCGGCAACAGATGTTAGGCGCCAATCCTAAAAAAAACCGTAAAACTCAGGGAAACCAACCCAAACCAGTGTGTAGTGTGTGGAAGCAGGCCCTTCTTTGACAAGATGGGCTGTGTCCAGCGTCTGCCCCCAGGGCGCACTGCCGTCCCCGAGGTGGTTCCCTCTGCACCAGGGGAGTCTGTGCTGACGACTAGGATGCCCTGTGCCAAGGAGTGTGGGCGCTGTCTACTCCTTCCTCGACAGGAAGACAACAGCTCACTCAGCGACCATGGCCGCCTCCGAGAGGATTTGAAAGCAAGGAAACTGGACCAACGATGGACATTGGCTCTTGCCCCTTGCTTGTCCCCGTGCAAGCCCGTCTGTCTGGGTGCACTTCCTTCTAGGTATCACTGGGAGAGAACCTTCCAGAAGGTCGGGTTGGAACCTCACCGGGATGCCGATCCGGACATTGTCGCAGTCCCCTCTGGGCTGGTTCACATTCGACACCCCGTTACTGCAGAAGGAGTCGTAGGTGACTCTCAGGGTGTCAGGGAGGGTGCCGTGCTCCAGAAAGACTCTGGAGGAGAGTTTCTGTGGGCAAAGAGCAGCTGCCACGATTAGGGAGGACCTCCCGCTGTCCCCTGGCCCTTCCCAGCCGATGGCTTGCACACCTGTCATCTCCCTCCCTTCACCCACACGCCCACTGAGAGCTGGGTAGGTGCCAGGTCCTGTGCTCGGTGTATGCAGTGGTGGGGTTACCAACGCCACCCCCCAAGACAGGCCCCCGAGGAGACTGACATGGAGACAGATCATAGGCCCTACCCCAAGGAGGGGCTTGACTCTCCCCTCACCACTGGCTCCCCAGTGCCTGACACAGAGCAGGAGCAGGAAAAACTATAAGTGAATGAGAGAGAGTGAGACAGACAGGTAGTGACAGGGACACAAAGAGACAGACAGATATAGAGACACAGAGAGGGAGAGACAGAGAGATAGAGAAAGAGGGGGAGACAGACTGAGAGAGAGGGACAGAGAGACAGAGACAGAGACAGAAAGAGACAGAGGAAGAGAGAGATATGGAGAGACAGAGATAGAGAAAACAAAAGATGGAGAGACAGAGATATATAGAGAGAGAGACAGAGAGGTGAAGGAGCCAATGATGGTGGCACCATCGAGCAGAGACGGAAACCCCCCACGCAGCGGCTGGAGGCCAGGAGGCCTGCTTTGGGGCTGGGGGCTCTGAGTGGGTGCAGAAGCACAGGGAGCTTCCTCAACAGGCTCTAACTTAATTCAGCGGTGTCAGCGTTTACCCAGGACCCCCAGCTGTGCCTGGTGAGGCTACCAGGACCCTTGGCCTAGAAGGGGGCCTGGCGCTCGTGGTTCGGGGAAGGCACGCACAGGTGAGGGTCTGGGGTGTCACATACCACGCCATCAACCAGAGAGAGGGCACAGCTGGCCTGCGGGAAGTGCCAGGGTCAGTGTGTCCAGAAAGCCTGAGGGCGGCACAGGAGGCAGGGGCTCTGCTCTCCAGACCACCCTTCTGTTGACCTGCAGCGGGGAGGGCGTCTCTGCTGTCCGCCCAGGGCCCCTGCCGAGTCCCCCGGGGCACTCACTTCGTAGGCGGCCTTAATGAGCTGGACAACGTTGCTGGAGTCTTCCGACAGCGTCCCGACTGCAGACTTGGGGATGATCTCAGTGAGCTTCTGCCAGGGAAGACCAGGTGGTCATGGCTGGATCCGCGGCCACAGAAAGCTGAGCTTCCCCTCAGTTTGTAGCGCCCCGGGGGGTTTCCTTCTGCTTGCACGTGGCTCACACAGCCCCCACCAGACCTCTGACTGTGTTTAGTTAAGTGAGCACGAGGTCAGTGGTGTGCTGGTAATGCTTAACAACCAGTTCTTGGGAGGAAGAAAGCCCTGAGTTGCAGGGTTTGCTCATTTCCTTGGTTAAATACTCCACCTTCGTGTATTTCGAGCAGTGACCTCACTGAAGGCAGAGCTGGGAAGATGTGCCTCGACACCGTTCAACAGTGTCCCCACCATGGAGAGGTGAGAGGCACAAACCACCCTGGGGCATAGGTAATCAAAAAATGTGCCAAAGCTGTCAGGAACGGAGAAGCTCTGAGCGCTTCAAGCAGTTGATATAACTGAATTTCAGTAACGACCGTGCTAAGCAGCAACGGGACAATCGGCTCTGGCAGGCCAGGGCCAGTGGTCCAGGGATGCCGCGGGTGGGCAGGCCGGAGCACCTGCAATGCAGACAGGCCTGGGGCAGCCTGCGGGAACAATTGTGCCCATTCTCCCCCACACCTGCCTTAGCTGAGCTCAAGGGTCACGCCATCTTTTCCAAAAGACTGCAGCGTTACTTTGTCTTATGGAGCTGATGGTCGGGTGCTGTCCTGCCCCAAAGTCCTTCCGTGACTCCCCTGAAGGGGGCCCAGTTGCCCCCATAGAGCTCATGGGGACGGTCACAGCCTGGCCACCAGTCCCCTGCAGCCTTCACTGCCCACTCCCCTTGGTCCCAGCCTGGGGACAGGCCCTGTGACTCGGGGAGGCTGGGCTCCTCCACGTCCTGTCCTGTCCATCTGCTCTCCACTCGGTGCAGATACCCATTCCAAGGAGGGTCTACTGTCTGCTGTCCCTACAGGCTATGGGTCTCCTTGACTCCCATCTCCCAGGAGCCCCGTGAGTGGAAGTCAGGGAACTAAGGCTCAGAAAAGCCTGTGACCTGCCCAGGACACCGTCCATCTGCGCTAACGGGGGCAGGGTTTGGGGTTCAAGTCTCCTGTCTGCAGCTTCCACCCCAGCACCATACCGTCTTCTGGAACACAAATCCTGCTGCTGATAGCAAATTACTGGGACCTATGATCCGGGGAGGAGGGGACCGCCATGTCCTGTAATAGAGCCGAGGACACAGTGGCTGTGAAGCCCTCACCTGCTTGTGCTCATGAAACTAACGTGGGCGGGTGGTCTTTCTGCCTGCTGCACCCAGCAGGGGCTGAGTGGAGCCACTGTCCCCGGGGCCTGGCAAGCTCCCACTGCCCACCCAAGGGGTTCTCCCAGACACCGGCCTCCGCCTCCTCCTCTGTGTCCCCGCACAGTGTCTTGTCCCCACTCTGGAGGGTGGGAAAATCAACAGGGGGAACCCCTGGTCTCACCATTGGCCCTCACCAAGCGCCCCCCGCCCCATGGGCAGCGGCAGCAGCAGCCCCCAGCCTGCAGCAGAGAGGTGCACAGGACTTAGGGAGAGTGAGGGCCCGGAGACTCACAGCCCATCAGAGCAAACAGGAGACCGGCACGCCACACTGCAGCAAGCGAAAACACGCAAACACAGCACATCTCACACCAACACAAGAGTTACTGAAGAGAAGGAAGGAGGGAGGCGACACCGCCCTAGGAACAGAACGTTCCCCTCCCGAGTTTCACACTACAGAAGAATTTGGTAAGAACAGTGATTCGGTACATCGGGACAGAGCCGGGCCCCTGAGGCAGAGAAGGAGGAAGTGTCTGCTGTAAAAGTGTTGGTTTCCGCAGGGAGACAGCTGCTGCAGGGCCCAGGGCTCCTGTGATGTGGGTGTGCTGCTCGAGAAGCGCACCAATATCCGCTTAAGGCTGGGAGCCCTCCTGTGTGACCTTGGGCATCATGAGGAGCGTCGCACTCAGACGCACAGGATGTAAGAGGAGAAAGTTGCCCTAAAGCGCACAGCGGCTTCTGCTGACCCGAAGGACGTGCTGTGTTGCGGCAAAAGCAGAAAGATCCTGGCTAACACTGAATGTCACGGACAGAAACGTTCCTTCTTTTATTCCCACGTAAAGGTCACGTGGCCCAAAGAGGCCTCGGGCTCCTCCTCTGCATTGTTCACTCCCGAAACCCGTGGTGGCCCAGGTGGTGGACCCACTGCCCAGCGCCCAGACTGTGGAAGCAGAGCTCAGCCTGTGGCAACGTTGGGTTTCATCCTCATTCAGCTGAAATGCCCTCTCCCCCATGTTGCTCAAGACCCCGACTCCACTTACCTCATAGGTTTTCACCATTCTCTCGGTCACAGCAAAGATGAGCCGGATGTGGTTTTCAGCCAGTTTATGGGCCAGCTGGCGCACCGATGGGTGGTCCTGAGAGGAGACACAGGTCAGATGGCCCCGGAGGTTGGGGACAAGCCATCAAGGCTACTGATCCACTACTGCCCGACAGCAGCAACTGCCCAAGGCCCAGTGCCACCCATAGGGCCATTCGAATGATGTTCCCAGTGCATAAAACAATGAGATTATAAGGGAAACCGACGAGACTGAAGTACAGTTAAGAAAGTATTAGAGGGGCCTGTCTGGTTACACAGTGGTTAAGTCCACGTGGTCTGCTTCAGCCGCCCTGGGTTCACGGGTTCGGATCATGGGTGGGGACCCACACACCACTCATCAAGCCATACAGTGCTGGTCTCCCACACACAAAATAGAGGAAGATGGGCCAGATGTTAGCTCAGGGCCAATCTTCCACAGCAAGAAATAAACAAATAAACAGGAAAGTATTAGAGGTAGTGTTGTGCTTCTTGATCGCTGCACTGAAAGGGAGATCGAGCGGCCAGGAACCGCTCCCAGACGTCCAGGTGGAGAGGACAGTAAACAGACTGTGAGGTGTCCCCACTTGAGGGGTGCTGGGCAGATACCCCTCCTCCTACTGGGGGCAGACCTCAGATACGGCCCCAGCACCCACTCTATTTTCCTATTGGAAGCACACGCTCGACTGCAGGCAGAGGTTCACCAGAACCTCAGGTGTCACATTTCCTGTCCAGGTCATAGATCCCTCCTGTTATCCACCCACACCCCAAGAGTCTGTGGGCTCCGGGTGAGAACCCCTGAGGGGTCCTATCTCTAAAGTCCTTTGCGGCCCCCACAGTTTACAATTCCAGGATGCAGACATCATTTCACAGGGGGGAGGGCAAACTCCCGTGACAGGTGGTGTGTGCCTGCCCGGTGCCATTAATACAGCGCCTCTGCCCAGGGGAGGAGACCCCAGCACAACAAGCCTGTCCTCGCCCCCAGCCCTTGGCACCTCCCCTCACCCCTGGACTCCCAACTGTGCTCCCTCTGCCGGCTGGGAGGCACCACATAGGAGGGAGCTGGGGGAGGTGGAGGACCCGGGGGTGCCTCCATCCCGGCCCCTGTGCCTGGGGAATCTCGGAGATGAGACGGGGTTGAGAGGGCAGGGTGATGCCCCAGGGGTGGGGACCCCAAGCCCATGGTGAGTTTGGGGAGGGCAGGGGAGGCCCGGGCTGCAGCCTGGGGGCAGCGGCTACTTCACAGGCCCAGAGCAGGGGAGCGGCTCCAGCCAGCGTCCACAGGGCCTGTGTCCAGTCTGAGGAGGGTGGGCGGCTCAGCGGGCGGCCAGCCCACGTGGGGCTTGAGAGACCTAACACTGCCCCGCTGGGGGCTCCGCCGGTTCCCACACAGATCTGCTGTTTAGATCGAAGGAGGGAGCCCCGGATTATAGCAAGGTGGCTGTAAGGACCCTGGCCTCCCGGCTCCCCGGGGCAGAGCCACAGACAGCCCCGGGATTCCCCCCATGGCCCGTTTCCCCCTGTGCTGTGTCCACTCCCTCCCAGGACACCAGGGATGTGGCACTCACGAATTCGTTGCTGCGTTTGTACGTGGTGTCCTCCAGGTGGCAGCGACTGCCATTGGGGGTCAGGATGGTGCCTAGCTTCCCGGAGCCCGCAAAAGGGAGGCCATTGTCCGTGGCGAACACCAGCAGCCGCGTGACATTGCGCCAGCCGATTTCCTCCTGAGCAGAAGACAGCGGGGTTACCTTCCTCCGTTTCCCCCATGGGGCCCCCACAAGGAGCAGATGAGAAGAGGTGCAGCTTGGCATGGGGATTGAGCTCAGCATGGGGACCAAGGCGGCCGGGGCCATACCGGGCATGCAGCCACTTGCATCAGGGCGTGTAGCCCGTCCTGGGGGGCATCCCGGTGTCCAGAAATCAGCTGCTTCCCGACCTCTGTCTGGAACTGGTTGGAGTCGGTGAGCTTCACCACGTGCCTGAAGGCGAGTGGGGGCTGGCACGCCTTCTCCTGGTCGGGGCACGGGTTCTGCATCTTCTCAGGGTGCGTGTTGACGAGGGACCCTAAGCCTGAGGCGGGGGCAGGATGAGTGGGAGAGGCTTCTGGTGGGGGGTGCCCATGAGCCTTGTGGGGGCCACCAAGGGCAGAACCTCGGTTTCCCTACCTTGAGCCAGCCATGGGAGAAAGCAGGATGGCTTGTGGGGTGTGTGTGAGCAGGTGTGGCCCCAGTGAGGATGTCCCCAGGGACAATGTGTCTGGAGTTCCCAGCGCCCGCCCCTGGGACGTGAGGGGGTGGAGGTGTGGGTAGCAGGGTGGCAGGGATTGTGGGCGGGACTGAGGAGCTTGGCCTCACCGATGTGGCCTGACTCGGTGATTCCCTTAAGGGCCTGCACTAGGTTGCCTGCCAGCTTCTTGACGTGGATGAGGTCATTGAGCAGGGGGTTGGACTGGTCCGTGAGGTAGTACAGGTCGATGGGGTAGCCCTCGGCCCGCTGGAAGTTCACGTTGAATGCTGCTGCCTGACCTGCCGGCAGAGAGGGCAGAGAGTGAGGGTGTCTGGGGGCACGGACACCCCTCCACAGGTCCCGAAGTCCTCATGGCTCCCGCATTCTCCGAGGCCTGCGGGTAAGACACAGGGCGCCCAGTTAGATCTGAACATCTGATCGAGAACCCTTTCCCAAGTAGAAGAAGGTGGGGACGTACTTCCATCAAGGTGTATTCCTGGCTTATGAGGCATGGTTGACATTCACGTCTACCTGGATCTACCCGCAAGCCCGTCTCCCTCAGCAGCCACCAAGCAAATCGACCTGTCCCAGAGAGGCCTCCCCTGGCCTTGGCGCCAAAGGGCCCCCGTTCTCCCCGCCTCCCCTCGCTTTCTGGTTGTTATCATTTGAATCACAACCTGCAGTCATGTGGTTACCTGTTCCTGTGTCAGTACAAATGGCCCATGTCCCAGCCCCAGGACGGGGCCTGGCACAGAGTAGGTGGTCAGTAGACAGGTGACAAGAAGATGGACGAGCCAGGGAGGGAGGGGCGAATCCAGGCCCTCCTGCTGGGCCCACCCTCCAGCCTTCAGTTCCCCCTGGGCTGCCCTTCACGGGACGGTGTTGCAGGGCAGGCCCGGCTGTGGGAGGCCCAGCCCAGTGCTGATCAAGCCAGGCAACCACATTGTGCTGCTTGCTTCCCACACGTGCCTTCCTGAAGGGTGTTTCTGGGAGCCCTCACAGGGAGCTGTGTCCTGAAGCAGGCTTCTGTGGTCAAGCCAGTTGGGGCAATGCGGATTTAAACAATTACGCAGCTTGCTTGGCTGGAGGACTTCTCAGAGCCTTTACTCTGCCAAGAGTACCTGGCCTTCTGAGAGGGGGTGGAATAGTGTTTTCCACATGGTTTGTTCTCCCTTTTAAAGAAGGACACAGAGAACATAAGGAAAAAGAGAGACCAGGCACCCAGCCAGGACAGCGGGTATGGCGGCATCCTCCTGGGTCGGAGAGGAGAGGGCCGTGGGGGAGCTCAGACTTTGGTCTCGAGGTTCCCAGCAGTCCTGGGCCTCACCTGGCCTACCTTGCTGTCTGACCTGGACACATGGACACATGCCCATCGGTTATCCCTGGCGCCCCAGAGCAGGGCTGTGCTCCTGGCTGGACCCCCACCCGGAACAACGGACACACAGGTGCCGGCTCACCCCCAGCCGAGGCCAAGCCTACCTGGTCTCAGGTAGACGGTCACTTTCTGTGGGGACAGCTGCTTCTGGCCTCCCTTCTGGTCCTGCTGGGTCTCGGCAATGCTCCTGGGGTCCATGATGTCGTCAGCTACACAGCCCTTCTGTAGCAACTGCTCCCGTGTGTCACAGCGATGGGAGTCGGGCTCCCCTTGACGGGTGAAGTTCTGGGGCCAGAGGGAGTCAGGGGTCAGGAGGAGCACAGAGAAAATACCAGGGGCCCACTGTGGGTGCTGAGTGAGGCTGAGCCTCCTCATTTGCACCCAGGACTCAAGACAGAGCTCCCTGTGGGAGACGGGCCTGGACGCTGGACAGCCAGCCAGGATGAACCCTGCCTCCCAGGAGGGGGACCTGCCCCCATGAGGGCTCCCAGATCACAGCAGAGCCTTGGGAGAGGGCAGGTTCCTCCCCACAGCCTCCAGCAGCAGGAACGACTCAAGAAGCAACATCTGCAGCCCCAGGCTGACCGCCAGAGGGGATGGAACCCTCAGCTGGCCCCCGAGCCTGGATCAGCCTGGGCATCACCTGGCATCTGGCCTGCACTTTTCAAGCCCTTCATCAGCAGAACCTTTGTTGGAGGGAGCAGTTCTCTCCCCCAAGGGAACCTGTGCGTCCCCTCTCAGCCTGCGTGGTAGCCCCGAGGTACCCTGGGGCCCCCAGGAATCCTGGATCACAGGCCAGGGCTCTGGGCCAAGCTCCTGGCAGTTCAGAGGGAGCTGGCCCAGAGAGGAGCATGGGGGTCCTGGGTCCGGGGCGCTTTCCTTGTGACCCCTCTGCCCCCATGGAGGCCCCCGGATTCTGACGTGGCAGGGACAGAGAAGGGGCCCCCTCCTGGCCAAAGGCTGCTGTGTCCCAGGGAGGGCGAGCTAACACTATGGTGGCTGAAAGGCACAGCTACATCTCTGCTTCCTTTCACAGACGGGGACTCAGGAAGAGCAGCGCAGACACGCGAGGCTAGCTCGGTGCCGGTGCCGGTGCCGGGGAAGTGGGGCCCGCGAGGCGCCGGGAGAGGGGGCGCACTTCCTGAGCTGCCTCTGCTTGTCTTCACTTTGGAACCCTGTGAGTGCTGTACGTGCTCAAGAAACAAAACTAAGTCAGCGGAATGGAGAAGGACGACCCTACACTGTAGTCACAGAGAAACAAACGAGCCACCGTGTTTCAGATGAATGTGATGAGCTCACGCAGGGGAGTGAGGACTCCAACCCGACATTTCCACCCCGGGCTTGATGAACCCCCATCAAAGGAGAGAGGACACAGACCGCACCCACTCCTGGCATCCAGCGGCTCTGGACTCTGAAACCACTTTGTGGGTGTGGGTTTGAACATGAGGAAATGTATGCGGATGTTGGGAGCCAGGCTTCTCAGCAAGGAGAACCAGGAGCCCTCAGGGAAATGTCTGATTCCATGGCTGGGGACAGGAATGTGCTGACGGGCCTGGTGCATCCCACTATTGCAGAGAGTAAGAGAGTGCCCGCCAAATTATGATGGGGTGTGCCAACAGGCCCCAGCACCAGTCTGGAGGCCTCCCTGTGGCCAAGTCTGGAACAATTTGAGCATGAAAGTGACAAGATGCTAGTGACAGATTATACACTAGCAAATAAAATAGAAATCCGTGCGTCCATGCTGGAGAGAGAGAGAGATTGATGGGGGTAAGGAAAAACCTCGTTCCAGAGGCAGAGAACAGGGGTCCAGTCCAGGAGGTGGGAAGGTGGGAAGGGCAGGCCAAGTGTGAGGACCCTGGGCTAGCTGATGCCATCCACCCTGGCTCTTACCAGCTTCTGACACCAGGTGCAGCCAGGCCCTGACTTGATGCAGTCCCGGCAGGTGCTGACCTTGTATCCGATGCATTCCTGGGAGAGGGCTGGGAGTGAGACAAGACGGGCCCTGTGAGCCGTGGCCTACAGCACTGGCCCTCCCCACGCAGAGAGCCTGCAGGCACTGGGGGGCCTGAGACATGGATGGGGGGTGAATGGACATTGAGGCCCGCATGCAGGGTGGGTGGAGAAGGAGAGTCAGCATCAGGACAAGGAAGGATGGGAGGAAGCCAGGGAGCATGTCCCCTCCAGGCTGCTCCCTGTGGAGGCCTCCACGTCAGCCCCACACAGAGGGGCAGAGTGTGGGGAGACAGGCCTGCATCTGGGACCGGCGCCCGAGGCACAGTGTTTCCTAATCTGCCCCCAGGATCAGAAAGGATCCTCAGGAGAATGGGAGGGCAGGCCCCTTTCTTCAGACCCGAATGTTCTTCAGAACTCACCGGACCCGAGGGAGAGCAGACCCAGCAGGGTGAGCAGCAGGGAGCGCTGGCGCAGCATGTCCTGTGGAGGGAAGGGGTCTTGGTGACAGGGCCTCGGACCCCAGGCTTTTTGGACGGATCGTCCATGGTGCTGAACTCCTCCACGGCAGCCTGGAGACGCAGAGCCGGGAGGGCGCTGTCCCTGCTGCCAGGGGGCGTTCAGCACCGGGTGAGGCCGGCACGGGTCAGTGTCTCTGACAGCCCTGCACCAGGGCTGCGGGGCAGCGTGGGCGCACAACTCATGCCTGCCGAGCCCACAGGCCTCCAGGGAGGAGCAGGGAGTGGGCCTCCTGCCAGTGACACACGTGTGTGCTCATACATGCACACTGCACACACAGATCCCACAAACATGCATACACCAGACACATACACACGCACCACACTCCCACACACATCACAAACTCGTGCACACACACGCACACACACACACACGTCTTATTGGTTCTGTTTCTCTGGAGAAGCCTGACTAGTAAAGATCCTAAGATAGGTGCCCCAGGTCCAGGGAAAGCTGCTAGAGATGTTTTTTTGTTTTTGTTCTTGTTTTCTGCTGAGGAAGATTGTCCCTGAGCTAACATCTGTTGCCGATCTTCCTCTTTTTGCTTGAGGAAGATTGTTGCTGAGCTAAAATCCATGCCAATCTTCCTCTACTGTATGTGCAATGCCGCCACAGCGTGGCTTGGTGAGTGGTGTGTACGTCCGTGCCTGGGATCCAAACCTGCGAACCTGGGCTGCTGAAGCAGAGCACCTGAACTTAATCACTCGGCCACCAGGCCAGCCCTGAGAGGGGTTTTTAACACCTTGGAGCCCAGGTGTGTGGGCAGAGCCCTGGTTTCCTGATCCACATATTCCGGGGGCATCGAGGGAACTTCTGTACCAGTTTCTCAACTCCCCGCATCAGAGCCTTGTGGTGGGGGCCTCACACTCCCTCCCGAGCCCACATGTCGTCCCTCTCAGAGCTGAGGCACGTGTGGACATCTGTGCTGAGCAGGGGACCCACGCGAAGGCTCATGCAGAAGCCAGGGCCTGCTGGCTCCTTGACTCCCCAGGCCCTGCTACTTGACTGCTGGGAGGGTGGGCGGCCTGGACACCCTCAGGCTTCAGAGGAGGTAACTCTGGGCCAACAGGGAGGCCTGCCCGGTCACAGGATGGGCAGCTCCAGGACTTGGCTGCCTCACCACAACTGTGCCTGCCATGTCACCACGATGCCCACTCCCCAATGGCGGAAGTGACTGGAAACCACCAGTCCTGCCAAGGACTCCCACTCCACCGACAGGCTGCCCTGCTAGGAGAAGGCCCTGGAGAAAGGGGGGCTGCAGGGGCTCTTTCCTGGCCTGAGGCACACAGAGCAGCCCGGCCCTCGTCTTCTGGCCCCTGGCCCAGCCTGGTGGGGCTCTGGCTGTGGCTGAACACCAGCTCCCGCAAGGCTGACTTTGTGTGAAGACCATGTGGGAAGTCGAGGCCTGGTCCTAGCGCCCAGGGCAGGTGAGGGGCAGCCAGCATTGCTGGGACCAGCAGGGTCTCAAGATCACAGGGCCCCCTGAGACTCAGGCTCCCTGCTCCTGCCCAGCTGCTTGCTTCCATTCCATGGGGGGTCAGCAGAGGCCCGTGATCGGGGCCTCAGCTCCCCAGTCAGGCAGGGTCTGGGGTGAGATGATGAGAAAATCAACACTCCTGTCTGAAATCCAGTTCGTGGAAAGAAAAATGGACAGTGATGATAGTCAACATCCTGGTTTTGGCCCACCTGGTGGGCGTCCCCTGACATCACCAAGAGATTGCCCAGCACCCTGGGGAGAGCGCCTAGAGTTGAGGGTTCTCAGTGTGCCCGGGCATTGTAATGGTTTTCCTGGGGAAATGTCATTTGATCTAAGTCCATCTTAGGCAGCACCCTTGAAGGAGAGGATTCTGAACCTCTAGGGAGACAATGGAATGCCTTCTTTGATTGGTACGCAGGAGTTTCTAAAAGACAAAGTGACCCCAGAAACAGCCCTGAAAGGATCCTTACAGCATGCAAATAAAAGTCATTAGCAGATGTCTTTGGCCATCCGAACAAGTAACCTTAACTTAGTCCATCTGTCAGAAGAACAATTTGGATCCAACTATTCCTTTGAGCTTTGTACGTGGCTAAAACTGTTTTAAGTGAAGGCTATGAGATCCCGCTCTGCGCCTGCCTGTAGGTTACGTGTGTCTACGTATGCACGTTATAGAGAGGTGCTATTTCTCCACCTCTGGATGGTATTGCTAAAAGTGGTTTGTCAAAGACCTCTATTTAATAGGCTCGATAGTACAAAAGTGCTTATAAGACTGAAATATAATAGAAACTAATCCACATGCATTTCAGATTTACATGATCTGGGCTTAATCCTTACTAAATAAAAGCTAGCTTAAGGTTGTAGGTTTATTGAAACACACGTCTTCAGAGTTATCAGTGCTGAATATAATGCAGAGGTGCAACTTTCATTCTACCTGGGTTTATTAAGTTCATGTATCTCTGTTACAAACTTTGTCAGTGAGAAAAAAGATAAGATAAGATGATAGCTGAATGCTTCAAAGTCACGTGAAGTTTTTGTGAGTAATCTAAACATAATTGTTGGGAACAAGTGACTTAGACAGACGAACACGAGTAAGAGTATTTTGGTGCAATAAGTATGTTTTATGGTATGTACGCTTGAAAGTATAGCTCCCAAAATCTTTTTGGTAACTTGAAACTTTAGAGTTTTGCTAAGTTAAATTAAATGATGGAACTGCATTGAATATCTGGGTCGTGTTCCAAACAAAATAAAATACTACAACATTAATTACCGAACATAGGTTTATCTACTTTTGGCTTCCTATTGAAGGAAAACTAAAGATAAAACTAGGCCTATTAGTAAAGATGTCTTATGCCACATTAAAAGATTGTACTATGAGAAAATATATTTCTAGGAATTAAGAAATCCATTCTAAATTTTCCAATCTAAAGAATGCTGGAATAACAGGCCGTTTATGAATGCTTACTTCTTAGTGAAAGTTTCTAAGGGCCAAGAATTCTACCCAAGATATATAATGATAAACCGAACATCTCCATAAGCAAGCAAAGTCAGATCTGTGCTTTGGTAAAAGAAGGTGTGAGGAATGGAAATACATTTCGTTGAGGGAAAAGAAAATAATGTCGTCATAAAGAGCAGCCAGTTATTTCAGGCTGGGAAAGAGGAAAACAAAGGACAAAATCTGAATGTAGGAAGAAAGTTGTAGAAGCTTTATGGGAAGGAATCTTGGGAGAAGAGTTTTACGCATGGTCAGTACTGGCTAAGATCGGAATGAATGAGTTTTCATATCAAAAATAAGTTGATGCAAAATTACAATTTGGCTTTCTTCTCTGTCAAAAAGACAAAGTTTTCTTGGGCTATTTGTTTTTGATAACAGATTGTGAAAGCTTCTTTACCTTTTAAGTAACACGCCTAGAAAACAGAGATTTTGGTTTTTATCAAAATAATTCCCTCTGTTTTTGTTATCAGGTCTTTAATTACTTAGGAAAGCTAAGCCTTCATATTAAAGGGGTTTGGTTTTGCTTATAACTATGTAACCTTTGTAATTTGCCTTTGAAATCTTTTCTATGGTCAATAGATAGAATGTTATCACTTGTAATTCTAGCTACTATCTACAAATGTATGTCACAAAAATACCCAAATTTCCTGGTCAATTGCATTATAACGAACCCTCATCTGATGCTTACTCATTGCCTTTTTTCTGAAGTCTTTTGTCAGTTATAGACAGCTTTTTTTCTATCCTGATGCCTTTTCAAATATATTTCATCTCCAAAGAGATTCAGGAAAACGACTTTGACAAGTACTCTGGAATACAGACTTTTGATAGTTTCAAGATCCTAACAGTGAACTGGGCAAGAATTTCTAAAACTCTAATGGCATACTGGTTGCTTTAACATTTTGTTTCCCAGATGTAAAGGACCCCTTTTCCTCCTCTCCTCTAAGCTAGCTATAACTTACAGCAATTGGGTACAGTGTGTCTTCACAACAAAGGCTGAAACATTTATCTTTTCCTCCCTGCCTGACCCCTCCAGAATTCAGAAACTCTTAGATATTCTTTTCATGACAATATAAGTATTGGCATAAATTCAGTGAGAATTGTTTCTCCTCAAGACAGGACACAACAGGAAATGCTGGCTAATATTTCCAGGTCTTTGACTAGATTATCATGTGCAAGAGAGACGTACACAGATCCAGAGATGGGGAACTGTTGAAAAAATCAGCCTAGTAGCTTGCTTACAAGGTTCCAGCAAAGCAATCTTAAAAAAAAAAAAAACAGATTATAGGGTCAGGCACTATTCTTAGTGCATTTATATAAATAATGAGGCCATGTTTAATATAAAAAATTAATTTTACTATGATAATAAAAATGGGAGTAATTGTGGCCAGAGAAATTATGTTTGGGCCTTTGTAGATATTAAATTGTAGTCCCATTAATTGTCTTTAAGGTTTAGTTGTATACCTGTAAGCTGGACTGGATCCTAAATTCTGCCGGTTTCCTTACATGTCTGGCTGTGATCCTCCAAACTGATGTTTCCAATTTTCCTGCCCTTGAAAGCTCCTTGGAAGGGACTATACTAGGCGCTCCTCACTACCCAGATGGCAGCCAAACCTCAGGGACTCGAGCCTTGGGTGCACATCTCACAGCTAAGGGAGGCTCCACCTGACACCTAGTCCTGTACAAACACTGGAGACCTCCAAGTCAAATGGACCAGGAAGACGAGCAGCCGACATCCGGGCAGACAGCGTTCCCAGGATGACGGGACCAGGCCTGCACACACTCTTCCCACTGTGTTTCTGACTTTATTTTCTCCTTCTCTTTCCTGGAAGGACAAGGCTCTTGCCTGCATTTCCCAATTCCTTGCGAAAGGGGGAAACCTGCTTGGCTGCTGGATTGGCCACCAGAAACCTCGGTCTGCCCAAGACAATAACGACCCCTTAGTTCACCCTGTGAGCAGTTCACTGGGATTCCAAATGCCATTGTCTGTTTAAAATGTTCCACAGGCCCATTTTAGAGAAACAGGGTCCTAAACCCACCTAAACTTGTTCGTCGCTTTAACTTAACCCAGGCTTGGAGGGGAAAAGAAGAATCTTTGAATATTTGTGTAAAACATTCGGTGGGACTGCCTATGTAACCCCAGCCATTTGTAAATTTCTTGATATACCCATATATTCAGGCAGACTCTCAGTGTGTCACCACATAATGTCTGAGCCTTGGTGACATAAGCTAACGCCTCTATACCAACAAATGGGTGTGTAGATACTATCACTTAGCGGGAGACTTACGTCCACCCCCTGGGTACACCTGCATGTGTGGAAGTTTTGGAAATGGCCATTATGCTTTATGCCTTGACAACGGGAGAATACATAGACAGTGTGGCTTTGCTGTATTCACTGTCCTATATTCTCTACATAACCAAACAGAGGCCTCTCACTGGTCTGTCCCATGAAACCTCTATAAGCACCTGAAATGAGAACTCCCAGGAGGCCTGTGTGACTCTGGCTTTGCCCCATGGGAAGAGCTTTTTTCCACGGGTCAGAGTGAGTCCCGTGAACAAATGGTCAGGATTCTCTCCCGGACTCTGGAAGAGTTGGCCGACTCCACAGACAAACGGTTTCAGCTCAGCAATGTTCACCTAACTCATTGGCCAAGGCGGTTTTGGATAATTGTATAGCCCTCGATTATGTACTTGCTGTGCAAGGAGCCATCTGTGCAATAGCAAACACCTCCTGTTGCACATGGATAAACGCCTCTGGGGAAGTGGAGACACAATTGCATAACATGAGAGAGCAGGCACATTGGCTGCAACAAATGTCACCTAACAACCCACCGTGTTTGATTTGTCCAGCTGGTTACCTTCGGGTCTGGGCTCCTGGTTTGGAACCGTCCTGCAAACTGCCCCTATAGTATTGCTCCTAATCCTACTCTGTAAAACGACGTGCCAAGAAGGCGATGCTAGCTCAGTGCTCGGGGATGCTTTCAACACTTACAAACTTGACGAAACGTAGACTTGAGATGGGAAGTGCCTGGGTGTTCTCCTCTTAACGTTCCCTGTTACTCCTGTGGCCTAAATGGTTTCCAACCACTGTGCACTTTCCCTCCAACGTGGGACACGCCAAGGAGGAAAGGTCCTTCCAGGCACCGAGGGAGAAACCGCTAGGCGCAGAGAGCTTGACTGTTGGTCAGTGATGCTTTTGGAGAAAAGCCTTGATCGAAAGGGAAAAACTGAAAATTGATGAGAAATCTCAATTAAACTGGACTCGGGAGGCCTGTAGGGGCGCTCTCACACTGTCACATTGTCAGTTACACCAAACAGGAAGAGACCGGGGCTGGCATCTCCCACGATGGTGTCCACCACCGACCTGCCCAGCAGGAGGAGGGAAGAGTTCTCTCCTCACCTGGCAATGGTCCAGCCAATGGGAGGCTGTAAAATCCCGCCAATGAGAAGCCTCTACACCTTGGACTCCCAGTTTCCCCCAATGGACCCTTTGTTTGTTGCCGCCCCTCCCAACTCCTCCACTCCCTATGAAAGCAGCTCCCCCACTTTGTTCTCCACATTGGCCTGTGGTCCCCAGAGCATGCTATCCCAGGTCCTGCTTCCTCTGGCTAGTCCTGAATAAGTCATTTTGTGGCTCAAACAGCAGGTCAATTTGCTTTTTAACTTGAAACTGTAACCTCACAGAAACCCGAAATGGGCTCCACTGAGCTGGCCCAGCCCTCGGTCACCCGCCCCAGGTCACCTGGAGGTCAGGCATCCACAGACTAAGGCCCTGTGGCCCTGCTCAGGATGCGGTACCGAGCTGTGGGCTTGGCCACTGTCATGGTCGGCCCTTGTCTCGGGACCTCATGCAGGAGAGGGACTCCAGTGTTCTTACAGGAATGCAGGGTGTGCAGGGGTGTGGGTGGGGTGCCCGCTGACAGGTCCTCGAGACTCAGCAGTGGCAGACTGCAGACGCTGGTAGAAGCGGGGGTCCCTTCAGTATAGACCGACTGGGGCACTGATGAGCTCCCAGAGGTTTCTCAGCAGCTCTTCTCTGCCGATTCCCACAGATGCTGTGCCCTCGGTGAAGGGAGGGCTCGCTCTCCCTCCCCCATCACAGCTGCCCCTCCTCCTCCCACCCTGGGGTCCCAGGTGCCTCAGAGAAGGGGATCTCTGGGGACAGCCTCGTCAAGTGGGTTCAGGGACTCTGGCCAGGCTCAGCAGTGTGGGATCCCAGCCCCTGGTCAATGGAAGAAGGCAGGGGTTGGGTGCCAGGGTGAGGTGGAGACAGGGAATGGAGGTGGGTGTAGCAGTGTCCAGTGGGATCCAGGTGGACCCCAGGGTCCAGGGTTGTGGCTCCAGTCTCCTCACTCCCAGAATACCTTGAGACAGGCCCCTGGGAGCCTGGTTATGGGAGGTTTAGGTCACACACCTAATGCCTGTCCACCTAAAACTCAACTGGTGTACCTTCCAGAATCCAAGAGAGGCAACAGACCACCATCAGGAAAATGCACCACGTCCACGTTCACGCAACACGTACTCACATACACCGTGCACCCTCCCACACACACACACACACCCCCCACACACAAATGCACCTGAATGCTCTCATACACACACATACACACAAACTCTGCTGGAGGACAGACCAGCACAGCTGACCTTGGGGGCATGAAGACAGGAAGGGACTGACCCAGAAAGGAAGAGGAAGGTGCAGCTGGGGAGGCCCCAGGAGCCATCCTGCACAGCCCTGGCCACTCCCGGCCCTGCACCCACCAGCCAGGGGGTCCCTTCTGGCACCTGCAGCCTCCTCCTGGCTCTGTGGGCCCTCGAAGCCCCCACATCACCAGCTCAGCAACTGTCTGTGGCTTGTCAGCATACCCCAGACCCAGGAGCCAAGGTCTGGGGTCTGTGCCATGTCCTCCCACCATGATGGGTCCCATCCCCTTCTGTTACAAAGGCACCCAGGGCTCTGCGTGGTTCTGCCCACGGTAAGCACAGCACTTCCCCTCGCTAGACCTCGGTAAAAGGAGGCCTGGAGTGGACAATCCGAGGGCAGGTGACATGGACCAGGGCCACCAGGGCCCCCTTCATGGCCGGGCCACTTGGAGCTGCTTCCCTTGGGAGAGGCAGCAGCCACTCCCTGGGGGAAGAGCTGCAGGGCTGAACTCTTCCCCTTGAGAACAACGAGCCCGGACACAGAGGAGCCTCTGTCCACTCACCCCGCTTGATGCCCCGGAGACCTCGGCAGGGGCGTCCCGGCTGGGCTGGGATGGGCTTCGGCTCTGCTCTTTACCAGGCTGCTGCGGCAGGTCTGGGAAGACACCAGCCAGCCAGAGACGCCGATGCTGAAGGCACACTACTTCCTGTTGTAAGCCAGCAATTCGGAGGAAGCAGTTACGTGTGGCTGATTGCACCAAATGTGGTCCATGAGCCCCAGCCCCTCTGCCCCCCGCCATGGCTCCCGAGGGAGGGACATCAGAGGAGCAACCACACACCTGAGAAGGGGACACACTATTCATCACCCACCTTCACAGGGAGAAGCACAACCGTGTGAAGAGAGGAATAACTAATGGGAGCAGAGGCCTGTGGCAGCCCCGAGGGGCTCACTCACAGGCCACGTGGGGGCTGGCCCCACAGGGCACAGAGAACCACGGAGGGCAGTGCCCAGAGGGGTGACTCACACCCCAGGAGAGGGGACCAGCCTGCAGACTGGCACCCAGGAGAGGAGAGTGCACCCCCAAAGGAGACGCACCAGGCATTAGGGATGCAGACTCTGATGGCGGAAATAAAAAAGAATTACCCGGACTAAAGAGCAGAATGATAAAAGCCAAGAGCAAATCAGAGAGACGACGAGGATCAGCTCAGGGCACAGAGAGGTGGGAATGAGGAAGACACATCCAGATGCCTGGATGCCAACATCCATCAACCACAGGACTTCCAGGAGGAGAGAAGAGTGAAGCGAGAGGAGGAGCCACTCAAACAACAGAAGAAAAGCTCCAGATCCGAGAGAAGGACCCAGATTAAGAGGCCACCGCATGCCCGAGGGAGGAAGAGGAAAGGTCCCCACACTAGCTACCTTGTGATGCTATCACAGAACTTAAAAGATGGCAAGAAGATATGCAAGTTCTGAGAGAGAGAGAGAGAGAGAAAGGAGACATGGCCTGGGCAACCCAACACTGAGAGACATAGCAACCAACCTCAGTGCATGCACCATATGATATTAAGAAATTACTGTTAATTTTTTTAGGTTTCATAAAGGTTTTGTGATTATGTTAAAGAGTCTTCGTACTTTAGAGTCATATGTTGAAATATTCAGAGATGACATGATGTGTCAGATCTGCCTCCAAATAATCAGGGGCGGGGTGTGCTGGGGGGAGAGTGGGTGGAGGTATAAGTAAGACAAGAGGTGCACAGGCCCTGCCGTGTGATGCGGGGTCGGTGAGCTGAGGAGTCAAAAGAAAGATTTCTTACACTCTTAAGATCTGGCAGTAGTGCTCTTTTATTTAGAGAATAGTATAGAATAGCATGGGGACAGGACCCATGGGCAGTCAGAGCTTCTGCTGCGTGGGGACAGCGCCCACGGACAGTCAGAGATGCTGCTGGCATGGGGAGCTGCTGATGCCGCCGCTGGCCTGGGGACAGGACCCACGGGCAGGCAGAGCTGCTGCTGGCATGTTGCTCTTGTTGCTGCCACTTCTGCTGCAAAGTTGAGTGGAGAGTAAGGCTAAATTTAAGGCGTAGGTATGTGAATTATCTCTTTACAAGACAAAAAAAAAGTTAAAATGGTAGCAGTGCCGGTAGGGTCCAGCCATTGGGTGGTCCCCCAACTTTTAGATAAGAATCAAACTGGATTGAGTAAATGGCAGAAGTCACCGCTTAAATATTATCCTCAGCTAAAGACAAAGGAGGATTGGGGGGGGGGGGTGTCAGTTACATGAGGTTGCCAGACTGTAAACAACTTAAGTCCTTGCCTTCCCCATTAAGAGTTTCCAGAGATAAGGCCATCCCCCCTTCCTCCTGGCGCAGAGAGGGAGGCATGGAGGTTTCCTTCACAAATGCAACTGTCTCTGATCAAAGGGCAAGCAAATTTCACTCCTCGGAGCCTCCTTCTTATCTGTAGTTTTAAAAGTAACCAGCCTAAAAATCCTCGTCATAAACCGTTTTAAAATTAAGCGGCCTAAAAATTCTCACCACCGTGGGCCAGTGATTCTCGGGGAGTGAGGACAGTGGGGGGAGGGGAGCCACACACCTGATCCTGGAAACCCCTGCTCACGGCTCCTCCAGAATTTCAGATTTGCTGGTCCATGCCCAACTCACTAGACCCACATCTGGCCCAGGTGTCTGTCTAACACACTCTGGACGGTGGGGGGAAGGTCTGACCGTCAGCTGGGCCACAAAGCCACAGACCACACCCTGAGCCCCGGGCCCCCCGGGCCTGACCTGGAAGGCACACGGCGCTGGGGAGGAAGGAGAGGGGGACGGCAGAGGCCAGAACAGAACCAGGGGGCACCTCACGCTGAAGCCGCCCCCGAGGGTCTTCTCTGTCTCTCTCTGAAACCTTCTCTTCCTACCTCTCCTGCCAGTTTCAAGGCTCCTCCTCATCCGTAGAGGGGACTGAAGGACCTCACCTTGCTCCCCAGTTCCCACCAAACCCTAACGGTGGGTGTGCCAGTGCCTGCCCCACTGGGTCCCCCTGGCACCCCTGCAGGCATCCTGGCTGTCTCCCTCCCTCTGCCCCTCCTGTGGCTGCTCCACTCTGCACACCCACTTCCCCTCCCCTCTCTCCCTCTCCCAGACACTGGTTCTGGGTCCCAGAGCAGAGCTGGCCTGTCAGCCCAGAAGGACCAATCCAGAAAGATCTCCCCTCCTTCCCCAGAAGCCCCTGTGGACTGGGGGGCGTAGGGGGGCAGTGTCTGTCTTCCCTCTCTCTCTTGTGTTTTCTCTCTCAAGGAAATAGTGGCACCTCCAGTGTGGCCCTGTGGGTCAGTCTTGCTTCTGGCACACAGAAGAGCTGGCAGGTGGCAGTGGGGGCCCACGTGGCTGGGCTCCGGAAGCCTGGACTGCAGTCTCGGACACCCGCTGGGCCGGCGTCTGCATGGCCTGGGGCCAGTCCTGAAAATGCGGGTGAGGGGTCTGCCTCTCGGGACCTGAGATGAAATGCATGAGTTCTCAGCAGAGCCCGGAAACACGGAGCAGGGTCGGGGCCAAGTGTATAGGGCCCAGCCCAGCAGGGCTGGTGAACAAGGCCAGCAGAGGCGAGGACACTGGGGGAGGGTTCCACCCTGACCACTAGGACCCGGGAGGCTGGCTGAGCTGGGGTGAGGCTGAGGTTGAGCGGGGCAGGGAGCATTTGCCCTACTCTGACTGTGACCCCATCCACGCAGGGCATGAGGCACGGAAGGTCACACATGCGTGGGAGGCTGGGCTGGGCTGAGGGAACTGAGGCCCTGGGCTGTGGGCTGGGTGGGCCCAGAAACACTTAACCCTTTCCACACTTTGGCAACAATGAAAATTCCCAGCTAAAGGGGCTGCACCACACCCAGGAGAGAAGAAAGATGCTGGAAAGGACTGGCCACTGTGCACTGTGGGCATCTCTGGGTGACCGGATCCAAGAGACGTGAACTTTCAAAACAGTTTCCTGGGGGCGGCCTCAGGGGAAGTGGCTAAGTTCTCAGGCTCTGCTTCCACCTGGGCGGATGGAGTGCTTCCGGGTTTGGTTGGGATCCTGGGCAGAGACCTGCATACCGCTCATCAAGCCATGCTGAGGGGCATCCCACATACAAAATAGAGGAAGCTTGGCACAGATATTAGCTCAGTGACAATCTTCCTCACACACAAAAAGAGTTTTCTGTATTTCCCAAGTTGTCTACCATAGCCACATACTAATTTTATAATCAGAAAAAGACATTACTATAAACGAGTATAGTAACCAAACAGGAAGGAGGGGCGTCGGCTGTGGGCCGCCCCTTGAAGGGCATGCGGTCAGGCACGCACAGGGGCTCCGTGGAGGGCTGGCCCATTGATATGGAACCTGAAGTGAGTTCGCTCACCCGTTGTGAAGCAAGCCAATCTCTGACACCGGGTGCAGTGGAAGAAAGTAGGAATTTTATTATTGCACAGCACTGAGCAAGGAGAGAGGGCAGCAACGCTGAAATCCCAAACTCCCCGAAAAGCTGAAAGGAAGGGTTTTTATTTGGGATTTTAGGTAGGGGAGGGGGGAGCATATGGCCTTGCTGGTCTGAACTTTCCCACCAGCCTGCATCTCTTAGTGGGGCGGAGATAATGAATCCAGGTGCTTGTCCTTGGCAGTATCTGTCTCCACAGAGGACAGTGGATTCTGGAGCCAGGAAGCCAGGGAGTAAGCAGGGAAAGAGTGTTTTGGTTTTGACCCTATATATGCTGGGTTTAATGTGAGGAAACTGCTATCAGAGTCGGCATCACCATCCATTACCCCAGGGCAGAGCACCCCTGTGGAAATCTCGACTTGGGCAACCTCATCCCGGGCCTCTTCCTCCTGCCTCCCTCACCACTTCCTCCGAATCGCCCCCCAGCCATCACAGCTGGAGTCAACACCATATATATATATCTTTGTGTCAGTGAGGAAGATTGTCCCTGAGCTAACATCTGTGCCAATCTTCCTCTGTTGCATATGTCGGATGCCACCACAGCATTGCTGCTGCGTGGAGCAGGCCGGTGCCCAGGATCCCAAACAGCAAACGGGCCTCAGTGGAGCACAGAACTTAACCTCTAGGCCACGGGGTCACCTGGGGACGCATTATTTTTACCCACACAAGTTCTCAAAGGCGAGCACTTCCCAGCCTAAACTGTTTGCCTCTGAACTTCTGGGCATTCCTGGGTGTGGACAGTATGTCTGACCCTGCAGTCGCTGTGCGCAGAGGTGCACAGGTCCGGCACTGGCCAAGCTGCCCTAGGAGCCAAGAGGGAGGTCTGCGAGCCCAGGTCCTGGAAATTCGTCCTTATGGATGTGCTCAGACTGCAAACCTCCCAGCAGAGACCCAAACCGACTGTCTTCAACCCCAGACTTCCTTGAACCAAAGCCGAGGCCATGGGGTTGGAGACCACCACGAACCCAGCTGTCTCCTCTGGGCCCAGCATGCCAGGCCCCCGACCACCAGGGCCCGGTGTCACCAGGACGGAGTCGCCTCCATTGGGCAGTGCGACTGAGAGGCAGATGCGCCCAGGAGCCACCTTGTCCACGCGGCGCCAGCGACCCCCTTCCCCCAGCGGGCCACTCACCTGCTCACTCACTTGGTCTCGGAGAAGCTGCCCGGGCCTGGCCTGGGCACCCCTGCGGAACCAGACCTGGTGCCGACGGCAGGACTGTGCACCTGCCTCAGTCTCCCGATCTGTAGGCGGTAGACGGAGGGAGCCCACTGCTCGCGCAGGCTGGGGCAGGTCTCAGCCGCTGGCCCTGGAGCAGGGCGCCTCCTTCCAGAATTTCCTCCTTTGA